CCCCGCCCTCGGCTTTCTCTATCGACTGTAGTTGGCTAGATAGTTGCTGCGCTTTCTGAGGAGTAAAAGCAACTAAAGGTGGTGATATATGAGGCGGAGGATCTGGTGTATGAGGCTCCGGAGGATCACAAGATACGTCGACTAGTCCTTCGGAGCCTAGGGGCCATATACCAGTCTTCCGCCAGCCAGAAAGTCTCGGATCTTGGTCGAATCGGACGCTCTAACTCGGCTAGCATCTACGACGCGCCCAATTTTGGTACGTATCTGTGGATGGCGGCTAACGAAGTGATCCACCCAGTGTTGGCCGAGTGTATTGTTATCCCCTTGAGCAAGGAGGATTTCGGCAGCGAAGTCGGCCACATAACGCTTGCTAGGAGCCCGTCCACACACTTCTTCGTGTAGGATCCAGTTCACGATAACCTCCTCTTGCTCTGGAGTCAACTTTTGTTGCCTGGAGGCCGCGTCGCGATGCGAATTACCGTGACGAATACGGTAGGACAGTGTAGTCCCCTTGATACCGTACCGATGAGCTGCTACGGCCTGGGAAGAGCCCTGACGGACAAGCTCTTTAGCTCGTTCGATTCGCTGCTCAAAATTGTCCAGACTATTCTCCACTGGATTAGCCATTTTGTACGTAGATAGGGAGTAATTGCGAGGTAAATTTAGAGACGTCGTGTTGTTGAGGCGTAGAAATTCCCTGCAAAATGGGGGTGCATGCAAAAAGGTGGTCAATGCGGTTAGTACTATAGATACTAGGTCTTCGGTGTCAGGAACGGCTCGACCGCAAGGGATGGTACAGAGTGAAGGGGAGTAACAGGCGTCCCCACGGGTCCATCACCTGATGGTCATGAGGTAGGGGTGCCCAGAATAGTTCATTGATCTCTAACCTTCCTTCTATCTTCCTCCAACATACCTCCCTTGCATAGATAACCAGAGCCCATATATCGGAGTAGCAGCACCAGGTCCCCCGGTGGTTCCTCATACCAAGACTTCCATACTAGGTCATGACTCATAGGCTCCTATGCCGGTGCCCCAGCGGCATCCCACCGGTGTCTTGCACTAACACTCGAGAACCTTCGCCTGTTTTCCTGCTTAGACTAGTCTCGAGCTAGACTAACTGTCGTTATTAGCTGAAGTGATTACTTTGATCTTTTTAATAATAGTAGAGCACGGGATACAAAAAGATTCTTTATAAGAGAATTATAATTAATAACTCGAAGAGTAATACGCTAACCTAATAACCACCCGGTGCTACGTGAATATCTGTCTAATTAAGAAGAGAGTCCTCATTACTCCTACTTCTACTAACGAAGTCTTAGTAGTTAAATAGAAGATCTAAGTATAACGTTTACATTTGATTACAGCAGCTCACCGACTCGCAACCTCTCTCTATCTTATACTACCAGCTTTTCGGGATAGGGTACTAAGACTAAATAAATAGCTAAGGACAAGAAGATTGTCACAGCTAGCGATTACAGAGCCACACAGTGCTGTATATAGCAGTTAGTGGGACCAAATGTCAGTAACACTGACATTTCTAGATCTTTTGGTCTATTGGCCTAGGGGCTTGGTCCTCCTCTTGTGACAAAGAAGTCTAGGAAGTTATAGTGTTACACGCAAAGGTGGTCAAAGATTTGTGAGGTTGTAAATGCATGACATTCTATCTAGTCCTATGGAGCACGAAGATTGGACTTAGTCCCAAAGGGCTAAGTCACGTGGTAACCTTGGTAGTCTTAGCAAAGCCCACCAAGGTTGCCTAACATATAGGCTGATTTAAAGGAATTTTGTAGAACAAATAAACTGTTAAGAGTAGATGTGTATAAGGCAGAGAGAGAGTTGGGGAGGAAGTTTAAGAATACGTTCTCGGAGCCCCTGATGTAGCTAAACCGTGGTATTTTAGTTTAATTAAGGCAAGGCCTTTGTGTTTTACTTTCTATCACTTCTATTTTTACGTGAATTATAGCGTGTGACTTTCGTGACTCACGAAGGAAAGGATTACTTAGGGACAGGGTTTTTAGGTATTATTTTTCGATTTTCAGATGAATTATGTAAGCGTGTTTTAAAGGTATTTCAGGACCTATGTAGGTAGTCACTGTCTTAGGAGAAGTTCGATTTAATGTTAACTCATCTGCTTGTACGTTTCACTGTCCAACTCCAATTATCCCGCTGCGCTTTCCCTTATAGTCTGCCACATCGCTTGGGTGAGGATACTCTGCACACAGGTACATTCTGTTCTGCTGCAACTTTAGTCCTACCTGGGCGATTCATAGGAGTTGCCTGCTTGATTTTCTATTCTTCATATTGTAACGGGGTAAGGCCGGACATCAGGGAAATAAGTTACGGGGCTAGGAGAAAGTTTATTTTCTCTTCTTTAAGAAGCACAGAGGCAGAGTAGGACACGAGTCCCTCATCTTCACGCATCATCATCCTCATCTTCATATCATCCTCTCCTTCTTATCTATATCTTCACCTTCGCTTTTCAGTCAGTTATTTAGTTATTTTAGTTATTCAGCTTATCTTTACGTTCGAGATCCTATTATCACGATACGAGTATCAGAGGCACATCCGACCAACTCGCGCACCAGACGTATAAGAGCTTCACTCTTATAACCAGTACCACGATCTTCGTCTGATAAGACCAACAGATGGGATCTGTTGGTACTGTAGCCGTCTGTTCAGTGTGTTAGGTGGTAGGTATATCCTATTGACCGCCTGACCCCGTTTCAATATCCTCAAGATTCTGTGGATATCGTCTTCGGACGCTATGGACTCTTCTGCTGGGCTTGTCTGGGATATCATGTAGGTGCACCCCCTGAAATGTCGGTAAGAGATGGTTGGCATTTTTTGCTTGGATCTTTTTCTTCTGAACCATTCAATACTGATTCAAAAACAGAACTCCGCGACTTACCTCGAGAAATAACAGTAGCAGGTACATGATTGTGGTGACAGGAAAGACTAGTCGATACCGGTTTATCTTGGTACTCTTAACTGCTTCATGCACAAATGTCGCATTGAAAGGTTTTACTAGTGTCAGCACAGGAGTTCATCTACGTTTTCTTGCCACATGTTGGATTCATGCCGTCACGAAGGCTTTGGAATTGAGCTGTTTGCCAAGCGACTTGGTCAACCGGTTAATCCACAGCTAATTTGTGGCGTGATATAACTCGCACCCAATTTGACAAGATCACTTACACAGTCTGCTGGACGGCGCTTTGACAATACTGGATGTTGGACTCCGGGGTTAAAAGGCCCTGTAAAGACGTCGATCCAACGTATAAAGCAAGTCCGGACTTTTCTTCGAAAGTCCCTTGAAAGTTGAGGTCGTCCAGACCACGACAGACCCAGTCGCGAAACCCCGTAGCAGCTGAAGAACAGAGGAATAAAACTTGGACCAGGTTGTGTGTTTGATTCGTCCATTAGGGTCACTCGTCTACTTGGTGTCGACATGTCGGCGACCTGTTGAATCCCGAAGGTCAGACACGATTCCTTTTATCAGGCTCATAGGAAACTAACCTTGATGTCGAGAGAGTAACTAAGGTGAGTAAGCACTCTCTTCTAATCCTCACGCCACATTTCAATTGCTATACATATTATTGCCTGAATGATCAATGGCACGGACTAAGATCGAGGATTTCGTACGAGCGATTCAGTGTGATGAAACGTCCACGAGACGGCGCTTCTCGTCTGTCGATCACAGGAGGAATTTTGTAAGCTTCTCCATAGCGAGTGATTATGGAGTGGCATACTGCAAACTAGTATAATCGTTCGGTATTTCCGAAGGAATTCATTGCGCTGATAGGTAGCAAAATTCGTGCTTTTTCACGCGGGCAAGGTGCCACTCTAGTAACAGACTGAGGGCTAAAAGATCTTATGTGATATTGTATCTGAATCGAGTCGTTACTTATAATGGATAGCAGGGCGTAGTTAGTTGACTTCGAGAACAGGACATGATCGCAGTATCGATGGAGAGAATAAAATATTGATCTATTGGCTCACGTTTCATACCAATCAATCAACTGGTCAGTGAAACTGCTCTACATAAATGCCTGATTCCAGCAGCCTACTATGCACATGCCTAGGATCAAATGTGTTCCACACCCACGTGTGTCTGCGGCCAACCAACATATCAAGCACTCAGGTAGGGCTCATCAATTTGGATATTCCACACTAGAAAGATAGCATCAATAAGAGCTCACAGCCAACTCATCATACAGCCAGATTAGAATGCAAAACACCACGCCATGGTATTAAAACTATACACTACAACACGCTTCGCTCAACTCCCATAGGTATCAGGCATTATTCAGCACTCAAATCATCGCATGCATGTATGCATGCGTACGTGAGTCCGTCTCTGTCATAATTGCTCAACTCAATCATAAAACGCGAACTCCCCGTGTGCTTCCATTCATTCCAAATATCATCAACTACGAACGAACCCAGCCAGACTGCTTGCTTGTTTCCATTCATTCTAGCCCTTTCCTTTCGTCCGGCCAAACGTCATATCCTCATCAAGGGAAAAAAGGAAAAACCAAATCACCGTCGTCATAAACCTCTCGCCCCTTTACATGGTCGTGAGAAATGGAAGAAGTAGAAGAAAAAATAGGAAGGAGAAGAACGAAAAGACACTCGCTGGTCTTGATGCATACGAATTCCCGTCGCCCGTATGCCAAGTGCGAAGGTGGGAAGGGGGATGTCATGCTTGATATCAGACACGATGGTCCTCCAAACGTCATTCAGAATTAGCATTCGTTCGTTTTCCCTGGATTGTGTTGACCTTGCGTGATCCAAGATTGTCTAAAAGTGCATATAAGGAAATGCGCTCGCGTTTCCCACAGTCGGCCATCCAGTGGCCGTGACTGTTCCATATTTGCCAAATCCGATGTTCTGGCAGTTGCGTCCACTTGCGGTGCAGGACAGAGCGCAGGCCATCAGCTGAAGTTGATTTTGAACGGAGATGATGAAGGCAAGGCTACATCCAGCAAACGAGTGCGCTTCTCCTAGAACGTCTCGGATTCCTGGCTTGTGACCGTGCCGAATGTATCTGTTGGCATCCGTCAGCTTTTGACAACTTCGCTATATGTGGATACGGCAACTAACCTCTCTTTCGTCTCCTCTCCTCTCTCGCGCTTGAAGGTGCCTCAGCTGGGCTTCTCAAGCTTTGATCATCCTCACTCCCTCGGCTGCGACTAGCGCCCCTAGAGGGTGTCATAGCGCGAGGCCCACTAGGTCTTCGCGCTGGCACATTAAGCGCGCCGCTCAGGTTACGGTTTTCCAGCTTGGGGCTGCCCGAGTGATAGCTCGGCACAGTGGCCGTTGCAGTGCCATATCCGCTCTCCACGCTGTGATACGGAAGTGGAGAGTGACCGCCAACGGGCTTCTTCTGCAGTTTGTTGATTCTCTCATTGCGTGCTGGTGTGTTCGAGTCGAGAGGCTCCTTGGGTGGTCGTGGTGGTCCCTGGCCCGCAGGCGACGATGCCGCATTATAGGCATACTCATCAGCGGCAGTCTGGTCGCTGTATCGCTGTGTCCGTTGCTCCGGGAACCGATTCAGTGACGTGGCGGAGCCAGCCCAATCTGTTGACCTTGGGCTCATGGGCGTATCGTAGTCTTGTGCGGACGACTCGAGGGCTGTGCGGAAGCGTTCCGTTTGCCCAGGCCGTGGCTGAGGGTGTTGCAAGTTGAGCGAGTTGCGGTGTGCTTTGTACTTGGGATCCTCCGGGGTTGAGAATAAGGGGGCCGGCGGCCCATCATGAAGTTCGTATCTAGCTACTGTACCGGATTCTTCAGGCATCGACGTGACTGGTAGGTCTTGTTCTGAGAAGCCAGAGTGCAGCTTGTCTTCGTACGGGTCGGTCTGGTAATTGTTGTAGTCGTTCAAATCCGAGCCGGAGCGCGAAGGTGGGTGCTGGAGAAACTCTTCAACGTCATTTTGGTCCTGCTTTCGGGGATTGCCGCTGTTTCGAAAGACTTTCCCGAGGCTTGACGTTGTTGTCTCGGACCACCTTGAGATCTTGGGGAAGAAGCTAGAAGAGCCTCTGGACTTGTGTTTCTTGCTCGTGTCAGTTAGAGGCGTGTTCTCGTTGCTGAATGATTCCTTCGTGGCCCGAGCGGACGGCTGAGGTGGCGTACCAAGGGGGACTGAACTGCCGCGAGCAGGCCCCACAGCTGGTGACATCAACAAGTCTACGTTTTCGTACTTGTGAGCGGCGGTGACTCGCGGGTTGTCATACTCGTCCTCATTGTCCTCCGGAACGGTGCTAATGCGATGATCTGAAAACTTCCGCTCATAACCCTGCTTCGTAGAATTCCCACGAGACTGTGGAATGGAGAGGTGTCCCGACTGACTACCATGACTGGCAGTGGAGGTCCCAGCATTGCCCTCTGGCTCATAGCCCCGATCAGGTTCTTGCTCGTCGTACGGCATATCGGCCTGGAGATTATCCATGGACTGGTTACGTGTGCTCGTCACGTTGGTCGGAACGGACTGGTGCTTGAGCACGTCAACATCAGTGAGCAGTTGCATAAGCATGTCCTCAATTCTTCCAAGATCGTTTGTACCCTTGGCACTGAGACCCTTGAGAGCGCGTCGGAACAGGTTGCGTTTCTTCGCTGGTAGATCGTCAAAGATGGTGCCAGCTTGAGATCCAAGTTGCAATGATCCTCTGGCACTACCAGGGATTGGTCTCGGACCACCAAGGTGGCGCTGTACCGTCTTTTCCGTGTTGTCCTTGACTTCACCGATTATTTGGTCCTCGGTATCGGCCAGGAGTCTCTTGATGTCATTAAAGGAGTTGCGCATCTCGGCTGCAGATCTGACCAGGGTAACGAGCATCTCAGTGTCTCTAGCACTCCGTTGTGCATCGCGAACCATGAGCTGCGACATGGTTAGTCCATGACTGGAAACGAATCGAATAGAGAAACTTACATGTTCCATCAAGGCAATAATGTCCTTGGACTGGATACGGTCAATGCCAGTGCCCGTGGCGGGATCATACAGAGGCGAGCCCATGGCCTGAGACATGCCGCTAAGGTGTCTGGTATGCTTTGGCATCGTCATCGAGTTATAAAACGGGTCGTCATTGTTAGAAGCTTGATCAACAAATCCAACACCTTTGCCCTTTCCGTCCTGGGCATCACGAGCCTCATTCGGTGCAGCAGATATGTAGCCCTCATCGCCTTGAGGCAGTCCTGGGCTGCCCGTATTGAAGCCTCTACGATAGACATCAGTGCCGCCATAGCCATCAATACCAGGGATGTTGGCAATGGGGCTTGTACCCTCGTAGGGGTTCGTAACCAACGTGTCTCGCTTCCGATCTTCAGAGTTGCGCTGCCATTCGTCTTCTTGTTCCTGGCTCGGCTGTCGGCTGTGTTTAGCAGCCAAAGCTCCAGCGGTAGCCAGAGTAGCTACAGCAGCAGCCTCTTGGAGGCCCAAGCCTTGACCTTTAGTGTTGTCCTTTTCGCTCGCCTTTGGAGTGGCTGCCCTGTCGAAGTCAAACGTTTTCTCTTGGGTTGGCGTATGCTCTTCGGCCCATTGCTCGTGGCTTCCGTGCTGAGAGCCGCCCAAGGGTCCTTGAACAACGGACGGCGTTTGATGCTCCTCATCGTAGTATCCAATCTCAGGCATGGGATGATTCGCGTCAGGTAGTCCACTGGCTACCATCTTGGGTGTCTGGTAACCATCGGAAAGGCGATCCACACTGTGACGCGGCGTGGTATTTGGTCGGTAGCCGTTCTTCGCACGTTCTTTAAATGACCGATTGCGTGACACACCCTCTCCCATGTACTGCTCCTCGCTAACAGACTCAACAGTGGGTGAATGATGACCATCGTTCTTGGCCTTCAAGGCAGCCGCCGCTGCCAAACCGACCGCTGCATTTGTGATTCTTTGCTCCGACTCGGTAGGCGATTGACGATATTTGGATTTCGGTACCTTCCGACCATACTCGTCCATTTCATACTCTGAGAACTCGCGGGACGCGTTCGATCGACTCAGCTTGGATGGTGCCGGGGAGCTGCGCTCTTCAAAAGCTTCAACGCGACTCTGGACCGATCTCTTTGCGGGGCTGGACGGTCTTGAGCTGTGGTCTGCTCTTCCCTCGTGAGATAGCAGTGACATTCCTCCATCATCATATGATAGTTGCGATATTCCGCCATCGTCGTAAGACAACTGTGATTTTCCACCATCCTCATAAGAAAGCTGTGACTTTTCACCCCCTTCATAAGACAGTTGTGACTTCCCGCCATCCTCGTAAGACATCCGTGACCTTCCAGCACTATCGTAGGACAACTGCGAGTCACGATAATCCTGGCCACCACTCAGAAGAGATGGTTCCAAGACGGAGCCATCAACCAAGGAAGCGACATGTGACTCGACACCAATTGGTGAGTCTATAATATCGGGATTCGCACCGACTCCGCGGACAGCCTGCCCGGACGTGATATGGTCCAACTCGCTATCTTCAGTGTAGGTCGTATTACGATAGTGACCGGAACTCCGGACACTGCTTTCTTCATCGCCGAACGCGCGGCTTCGCATGTTGCTGGAAACCGAGCTTGGCGTGTTGAACCCTCTGTCGTGCCCAGGTGACTTGCCAGGGGAGGACAACTCGCTATACGTCGCTCTCGAATCGCGGCGATGGTTGATTTCGCTTTCACCTTCCGTATATCCAGAAACACTCTGGATAGGGCTTAGTCCACGTCGCTCCTGTTGGTACGGAACATATCGCAAGGGCGGTGGCACATCCTGTGAGTTGTAGTATGGTCGGTCCATACCAGACTCTTCATACATGCCTGGCTCGGCTAGATGGCCTGCTTCATCGTACTCATCGTCATACTCGTCCCGTTCTTGCGAGTACCTCTGACTAAGCTCACTATCCTCGTACTCCTCATCATACTCGGCTGCGCCTTTGCGAGGAAGCGCCTTCAGATCGCCGTGGGAGATATTGGCGTGAGTAGCGCCGAGGCCGTGAAGAGTTTGGTTTGGAGTTCGCGTTGGTGTTGGGGTATCATGAATCGACTCCATCGATGCAACTCCTCTGCTGACCTCACGGACAGGTGTCATTTCCTCACTGGCAGAATGCGGCCGATCCGTGTCTGCAGACAATATCGACGTCCGCGTTAACTCACTTTGGTTGACTTCGCTTGCCAGCGGCATGGGCGGGATGACCTCATGTTCAACCTCATCATACTCCTCTGCAGCCCTGCCGCGTTCCGGCGTCTTGGCTCTTCGGCGTCTCCTCTGTCGTTTCTCATCGGTCCGAGATCGTTCAACAACAGCACCCAATGCCGCCCCGGCTGCAGCTACACCTCCCAACGCGGCAGCATCTGCGAGCCTGTCTTTCCCGCGGCGAGGCGTATCATCTTCAGCTTCAATGGACTCCACAGATACTTGATCGATGCTGCTGTGGGGAGATAGATCATTGCGAGCCTCTCTATCTCTAGACTTGACAGAATGCGTCACGTCGCCAGACTTCTTGTTGTTCGTGATGGATATATCTTCCCGCGAAGCGGAAGTTAGACTCGATAGTGAATCGCGATCTTTGATTTTCCGCGTTTCGCGGGTTTCGCGCTGACTTCGCTCCCGTTTGATGGCGTCCAACTCTGGAAGAATCAGTCGCCGAATGGCATCTTCGACTGTTTCGAGTAGTTTCGGGTTGTTGATCGACACCTTGGAGGAGGAATATGAATCATAAGATCTGTGACTTGGCGTCACCTGGGATGAGAGCACGCTGGAGTCGACGGCTGAGACCAGGGATTCCTTGTGGCCAGCTCTTGCTCTCCGGCGTTGCGAACTCCGGCTCAACTCTGTATCCTTTTCGCTTAGGCTGCTCGTCCTGCTTTTGGACTTGTGTTTACGATCTGAAGTCTTGCTGGACTTTTCCAGGATCTTTTCTCGACTTCTGTCATGGCTCCCACTCCGGTGTTTGCGGTGCGATCGGTCTGATACGGCAGAAGCGACGAGTCCTGCAGCAACACCAGCTGCTAACGCCTCCCCCCTTGATGGACTGTTACTTCGCTTCTCCTCACGAGACAACACTGTAGTACCGCCCGAACCATCCAAAAAGCTGTCCGTCGGGATGGCAGATATATCTGACATATCAGGTGGCATGTAAGATGAGGCCTTGCTGTCGGTAGCCGGGATCAGCGGGCTCGACACCTTGCGATCACGCCGGCGATAGTGGCCTGGCGTTATCTCCACCTCAATGGGATTGCGGGAGACATTGGACTCCTCGGTTGCCGATGCGTATGAGTTCATGCTCCTAGTATCATCTGGATCCACTAGATTGACCTGGCTTCTTCCAGCCGTAGGGCTGGCGGTTGCGGCTCTTTGGCTTAACGAGCTCTTCCGCGAGCTCTTTGTCTCGGTGATCTGAATACGGTCGTTCTTCCCGCGGGCCTTGGATGGCGTGAGGCGCACGCGAACGCTGGGCTTCCGCTTGGAAGAGCTGGTTGCGTCGGGCGAGCTGCGGGGGCTTTTGCCACCTTCAAAGTACTCGATCAGCAATGACGTCTGCGACTTGTTGGCTCTGTGGCCACGAGTCTTGATGGTGACAGGCGTTCCGTCGTCGGGTAGCGAATAGGACGACTTGTCGTCGGCTGTTCTCGAAATATCGGTCGCAAGCTCGGTGGGTGTGGTGAGAGATTCGGATTCGGTCGGTGCAGGTAACGGCGGAGCTTTTCTCGACTCGATACCCATCGTGTCTGCCACGATGCGATGACTGTGGAGCGCCAATTGGTAATGTAGCCTTGCTACTGCTGTTTTGTTTGGCTTGACGTAGCTCCTCTCTCGCCTGGACCCTGGCCCTCCTTGCTTCGCTTGTTTACTCGGACCCGCCTTCCGACGTAGCTATGGACCCGTCGGTCGCGCCCAGCAAAAGAAGCGCAGGACAAGAAAAAGCAGGCCCAGAGATCCGCCTAGAAAATTATGGGTGAGGTCGAAAAAAATCGGTTGGGACTGTCGGTCAAGACATCGGTCGCAGAAGGGTGGTGGGAATGGCGGGCATTTGTCAAAAAAAATGCGGTGGTGGGTAAAAGAAGGCCGAGTACTCAAAAGGTCAGGTGTAAGCATGGAAGTCGCAGGACAATGGGCGACCCAAAACGACCTATTGTCGTAGGAAGCTTGAAGGGAGGAGAGTTTTACCTCGAGAGAATAATACAATTGGCGAGGAAATAAATTAATATTTTGCCCCCAATGAAAATTATGGGCAATAGTCAAGAATCCTTATTTTTCCGGGTCAACTCGTCTTGAGTAACGACGGGAAAACGGGATCGAGAGAGCTTCCAAGCCCGGAAAGTTGAGTTGTAGCTCCAATTGCCAGGCAGCTAGCGTTGCCTAAGTGAGTGAGAGTCGTGAATCGATCAACTGCACTCAGACCGAATGCGCCAAACTCTCCAGCGCAGGCAACTGCGAACGCACAGGCAGAGACGGGCAGGGCAAAGGTGACGATGGGGTGAAATGTGTGTGAAAGAGGGTCGGTGTTTCCGTCCACTCGAAGAAAGTGAGGAGGCGTCTGCGGATGATGCGATACGTGGTGCTTGATCGGCGGAGCTGCACTACGGCAACTTTAGAAATCTTGCACCAGGCAATTCAGCTGCGCACCTGTGACAGACAGTTCTGCGGATACGATATGCCTTGCTAATGCAGCACGGCCAGAAGATAGTATGCTTGGTAGGCAAGGTCGAAGAGGCGATATCCACGCAATCTGGGGCCAGAAGCATGGGAAAAAACGATAAAAGGCTTATGAGGCTTTGTTATTGCGCAGAAGTGCAGGGGCTGGGAGTTGATGCGTTGGCCCTGCCGGGCTGGAGGGCCAATTGTACGGGAGAGTGCGACTCTGTCAGAACGAGTGGGCTGCACGGGCAGGGAGTGGCTCGTTTGTGGTGATGCGGGATGTTGTATGTGCAGAATGTTGGATGGGCTTCAGCCTGATGACGATGGAATAGAATGACCGAGTTTGCAAGTTGTTTAACGAGGACATTTGTCTTCACAATGCTATTAAGATTTCAGATTCCCTTCCTTCCAAATGACTTCATTCCATGAATTTCACTTCTCACACTTCAGATGATTGGTACACATGAGGAAGGTAAAGTAGCTAGCGAGTAGGTGCGCGGGGCAGAAAGCAATTCTATGCTCGGCTGTTTGTTTGCTATGAGGAGGTTGATGACAAAAGAATCTGCACCTGACCTGACCTGACCTGACCTGACATCCCACTTTTTCCCTGCAGGTATTAAAGTTGCGGGATCCATTTATGCCTCAAGCCGTGTAGTCCATATGGCCGTTTGACATCCCACATCAGGACCAAACCTTCAAGATAAAATAGACGACAAGGACTGGGCTACACCGGGAGGGAGAGAATAGGTAGAATTACCTTTGCAACACCGAGCTCAGGTCAAGTCAGCGGATCTTCCCCCCGAGATCCCGCCCCGCAATGTGGCTCGCGCTTTTTGGCAGGGCGACCGGCAGCCAACATTGGAAGGTGCTCAGATCAAAGCAATGCTCCACTTCATCAAGCTCGTCGATATTGACAATAAAATCGAACTGGTCCGAGCAACATGGAAATGCTAAATTGCATCTATACAGAAGTTGAACAAAGCCCTAGGAGCGACAGACCTAGTCATCGATGCTGAGCATCAGAGACTGGAGTCAGCAAGCCATGGCCTCCCAGGAGCCTTACCGGCTTCTCAGTTTGCGGCTTTAGACCCGTTGCTACCGCTTGCTTCACCGCACTTTCGAGAAATGAGTTCGAGTCAGGTTTACAAGTTCAGGTCACAAAGCCATTCGGCCAGGAACAACGTATGATGTTGTAAAGACACCAGAGACCCAATATGATATTGGATCTGCTTCAGCAATGGTTGGGAAACAAACACAACCAATTTCGAGACGGGCCAGAGCCAGATAATCCCGCATCGACTTCAGCTTCGTTAGTTGATGCCACATGAATAGCTGAAGCTAGAGCCGACTGCGCTTGAACAACGCCACAATCCCTCTCGCAAGCTCCCTCCCAATTTGGAGAATTGGCAGTTTTTTCTGCTATGTGGCAAAAGTTCCGCGAGTTGGCAACTAGCCTGCTTGATCCGAAATTGGTCCAGTCCAAATCCAATCTGGTGCTCTATTCCACAACCCCGCTGTGGCTGCTGAAATGACCTCTCGGATCGCGCCGTTGGAGCACGCTTACCCGCTTTTTTGGCGCGGGCATCTGCAAAGCTATTTCCTATCACATTCCCTCAAGTAAATTCTCGAGGTGTCGAGGTGCACAATGTTCCACAGGGGTGCTGGGGACATGATATGGGGCATCATCACATGGCATACGCAAGGTAACTCATTCCCAGCGAAAAGTTGATGATTTGCATGAACTTCGCGCATGAAAGGTCTTGCTCCAGCCAGCCACTGACGGCGGAGCGTTGTTTTTAACCTGCAGAGCCGCCGCACCAGATATGCGCATCGCATACGGGCTTGCTGCTCTCCTGAATCTTTGCATGGAGTGTCCCAGCTTTCCACGGTATTGGTGTCTCATCCGTCGAGAGCACCGTGCCAGAAGGAAATATTGCGAAAGCAGAAAGTCAACTCCATCTGCTCTCCCCATCTTCGAAACGAGATCTTCCGTCATAATATTTCCAACTACACCCAGCCGAGAAAGGCAGGGATCAAGAGGTGGAGATAAAGAGGATCCGCCCCTGTCTTGACATGGCCATAGATACAGGCGCTGTCAACTTCCAGGGACGTACGAAGTACATATGTACTGTTTAGACGATCACCTCGCCTCGATTTGATATCGTGGCGGCCCCAAGAGCAGCAGTCTTTGCCCATCTCTTCACGCCAGCTTCCCCATCTTGCCCTCGTCGATCCCAACCCCCATCAACAGCGCAACCTTAACTACCACAGGTGGAAAACTAGAAACCACATTAACCCAATCATCCAACCTCCAAACCTTAGCATCCAAAATCGTTCCCATCCCCAGCGTCCGCACGATACTAATACAGTTCGCCACATCACTGACGAGAACGGTCATGACCACCAGCCTGAAAATCCTCCAATCCGTGACCTGCCGCCCCAAGACGGCCAACACGAACGACAGGGTGAGCCAGGATCCAGCGAGCTGCTCGAACAGCATTCTCATGCTTGCGTCATAAGTTGCTGTAGGTGCAATCACCCGGAGGAGGTATACTGGGTCGAAGAGGGCTACGTAGACACCTGCAAGGGCGACGCAGGGTTCGATGTAGAGGAAGGTGAGCCGGTAGATGAGGGGCAGATTTGGCGGCGCCATTTCGGGAACTTTGGTTGCTGATTGTTGGTTGATCGAAATTTCAACGTCGTTGGTACTAATTCCGGGAAACTTCCGAGTGTCTTTAGTTTGTACAAGTGAGGAAGATGGCTGAAACATGACTGTTTCGGGACAGCCGGACGTGATACTTTAGCCCGGGCGGCAAAACATCGGTCATTTGAATTTCGAGTGTGACAATTGATAGTTGCGAAGGACGACAAGGTTAGACCACAACAATAGGACAGCATACCTGTATGTCTTCATTTGGAGGTAGAACCGACACAAGGCGTCTTGTAGCCCTTAGCGACTATCACAGGTCACTTTTTCGGTATTGTATAGTCCGTCATCCACTTACGTAGTCTGAACGTGGCACCCCACCATTTGCTAACCCCACACTTTCTCTGAGCCAATTGAGCTACTACTTCAATTAAACACAACGTAGTAGCTATTAGGGTTGCAAATAATATAAACACACTATTTACTATTTCGTAGTTAGTTCGCAGGATATTCTACATAAACTGTGGCTTTTTGATTGTATGCCCTGATCTCATAGCCTAGCACAGTTGTCACGGTCTATGACCGGTATGTGGCCTCTGCGACGCCTTCGGCCAGAAAGACCCACAGAAGATTCTCGACAGCACTTGGACTCACAGAAATCTCCGAATAGCTATCTCCGAATAGCTTCACTTCTCGAAGATCCCTGAAATGACGAGACGGGAGGACAGAAGGATAAAAGGGAGAAGGGTTCAGCACACTGAATGTATCTAATGTTTTTCTCTTCATAGATGGATGGTACTCGTAGAGTAGGCTAGGCTAATTGCATCGATATTACCCTTGACCCTTACATCAGTGGCTCTAGCTCTCTAAGTCGTCCCCCTCCTCATGTTACGAACCGTTGGCCCTGAACCAACATTACAGGCCCGTCGGCAGGCCAGGTGGATACAGACGCTAGGATCACGGGATCCCGCATCGGAGGAAGGAAAGGACCGATAGGTCACGTGACCTACAGGGGTGGATATGTTGGATATGTTGGACAACCAACATATCCAAGTGGGGATCAGTGAAGGAGAGATGGGTATATAAGGGACAGGACTCCCAGGCATTTCACAGATAGACAGTCTCTACTTCAGTGATCAATATAAGCATCAATCTAACCCATTGGTGAGGCAAACTGCCTTGACGACTCTATTCCCAGTTACCCTACTTGAATACTTCAGTTACCCAGAGCCCTATACTCCATACGTCAAACCCCGATATTATTGCTTGAGGACTCCGCAGCAGGACTTAATTACTAGCACAAACTCTTACCAACTCTTTAGTGGTTACGCAGCTAGACTATTAGAGGTTTCGTTACACCTCACTGCTGGCCCCTTCTTTAGCAATCGGCACTGGACGCCCCTACGGGGCTAATGGGACTCTTGTACGATGTTAGAAGGTATAACCTATGTCCCCTCCTCATCCCCCGCTCTGCGGCGCTCTGCGGTTAGTAGCTCTCCAATGTCCGTAAATCACCTATTCGGATTCGGAATTGCCTTGCACTTCTTACCCCTTAAACGGTCCAGTTCCACTTTTAAAGAGGCATTCTTTGCCCTCTCTGTGGCGGGTTCAATTTCCTTATTTTCCATGCCTTTAGCGGCCTTCAAGAATAAGTTAATGTTGGACTCTTATTCCTGTATGGCCGTCTAGCTTAGGGGCAGGTTTGGCTTGTCCAGACTTATCCTATTGAATGTTTGGATGCGAAAGTGTCTTACGCTGTGAAATTGGCCAACTTGCAGTAGTTCGCCGGCCGGATTTGATAACATCGAGAGTCAGACTTACGTGCTTCCGAATAGGCTCTAATAAAGTTAGCCTTGTCAACAGGGGCAGAATCAGACGGATAGCTCAACTTTTCAACTTTCCTGTGGTATGTACGCTTAAGGACATGAAAGGGGTCATTTTCCGCTGGTTGCAAGTCGTAGGAGAAGTATACCGGTAAATAACAACAGTATGTGTTATATAGAAAGCAAAATGTCATCCACTCGTCCTATCAATCAAATTCAAGAGACTAAGATAATTAATTATTAAACTTGCGGAGATAAAACTCCCATAGCTATTCAGAATAGTCTATCTGGTAGTAGAGGGATCCACTAACGTATTTCACCCCCATTCCGACACCCTATAAAACAAAACACCACGAATAAAACTGCAATTTCAAACAACCACCACAAATTCAATTCTGAACAACTATACAATCGCTTTCAACAGTAGATACATTAGATATTTCTGAACCCGAATCATCAACAAGAGCTTCATTAGATACTTCCCTCATCCGCCGTACGTCCTCAATCCTTGCGAATTTCGCGTTTGGACTTATTTGCACCTTCTTTTTTTTCCGTGGCTTCATAAGCTCCAATCGCTGTTTCAAGCCCTCAATTTGTAATTCTGCGCTTACTAATAGATAATCCTTCTCATCAAACCCTTTTTTCATCTTTCTAAATAGCTGGCGTTGTGTAGTCATGTTAGTTTGTTGGAGTCGATTGAACTCCCTAAACTGGCGCTCTGTATCTACGCTCTTCTTTGGCGTTGACCATACAACATTGCCCTCTGAAGGCGCCTGGAGCGTTTTCTGGACTTGCTGGGTTGTAATAAGAATGTCTGGACCTTGGTGACGTGTGCGGTTGCTATTTTCAAGCAGAAGAGGGCTAGTAAGGGGCCTAGCGACATTTAGGGGCCATAGACCACTTGTACGCCAACCAGACTTGATATTTTGAGCCATTAGGGCCCTCTGGCGTGCTCTGGCGTAACAGCGCATAAAATTCCGCTTGCCAATAGGTGCTGAATCAGTTAATAGGGTTAAAAACCCGACCCCCTTGCGATATGCCGTTTTCATAGCTGAGAACACCCCAACATCGAGGGGCTGAAGGACATGAGATGAGTGTGGGGGTAAAAATAATAAGTATATGTTGTTTTGATAGCAAAGAGACATAAAAGTATCAGTTGTGTGACTACCGTGACCATCCAAAATAAGTAAACGAGTGTCTGAAGGGTCCTGAGGAAGCGTAAGGGGTATAAAAACGTCTTCAAGCCATTTGATAGCTATCGTATCGTCTGTCCAGCCCTTGGGGGATGCCTTGAAGCGCCAGTCCTTGAAGTCCTGAAGATTTCTATCAGGGAACCACTGCTCTTGGACGTCCTTGCCCTTGAAAATAACCAGGGGGGGTAAGGTATTGCCGAGGGCATCCACACATTCCAAAATTGACGTCCACGCCCTCGAACCAGGCTGTTTCTGGTGTATTGCGCGTAAGGTAGCGCTCCCGACAACTAGCCCAGAGCCCCCTTGACCCTCCATAAGGCCATGCTCATCCATATTATACCTGCATTGCGGCTTAATCACTTGAATTGCAGGAATACGTAGTTTTGAAGCAAACCAGGCTTGGATTACCTCGGTAGACGCGCCATTGATACGCTGAGAGTCGATACGGCGTTGCTTTTTAGTCTTTAGTGCTGGGTGACGCTTTAGAAAGGCTTCCAGCCAATTCTTGCCGAGTGGTTGGTGGTCACCTTTGAGGGCTAGGACGCGCTGCGCGAGCTCCTTGATTTGCGCGTGCGTTGGGGCTAGTCCAAGGGCTTCCTGGACCAAAACCCAGTCTGCTAAGTGTTTTTCTTGCACTGGAGATAGCCTCTGGTGGCTAGCAGAGGCCTCGCGACTTGATTCAGCGCTTTGAAGTCTGTTGATAAGTGTAGTCCTTGGTATAGCATTTGCGACGTCTAGAACGGCGGCAGCGAGGTCTTCTTCCGTATATGAAGGCATTGATAGCAGATCAGATCAAATACTTGGAATAAAGTCAATTGAAGCAAAAGTGTTTGAGAAATAAAAGGATAATGTAAATAGCGGTGTGGTTATTGTTGGGGTTTACAGGGGTGTCGGAATGGGGTGAAATACGTTAGCTTAGTTTAGGGGCCATATACGTCGCTTAGCTATAATAGACCAATGCCATTATCTATCAATCCATTTGGTGAAGTTATGAATTTCCGCTACGAGCACAACGTCTAAAAGTCGTCAACATATCACCAATTTTACAGCTATTTAGCCTGAAAGATGATTTCAGGCTATAGGATTCGTCCGTAGGCCGTCATGGCTTCAACAAATGAGGTCCATCGCTGGTCCTGATAGCTCTTGAGGAAGGTCTTCTTCAAGTCCGGAAAGTCAATTACAAGTGAATAAAGCCCTAAACAACGCGCCAGTAAACAGTTGATAATCACTGTAGTCAAGGATAACTTGCCAAAGCCTACCATCAGACCACCCTTATCGACATTCACAATATTATTTGGTTTAATCCATCCGCACTGCTTCACTCTAATATTAAAGTGCCATTTAATGGCCTTAGAGGTGAATCTATTGAATTTGACGTCTTCATAGCGTCTACCAATTTTTATTTTGATGTCAGCATGCCAAGAGATAAATCTGTTAAGCCAGTTACACCACTCCATAGCCTTTGATCCCCTTCTTGTTACAATAGGGCCGTTATGACGGCTTTGACTTAGCTATATGAACGGGCATAGCCGATATATTCTTGCTTTTGAGATCCACTTAACGAACCGGGCTATATCTGCTCAATGCTCTTGAGACGGTATGCCAGGGTTCTCTGCGGCACTATATTTTTCTGGGCTGATTTGTTCCGTAACAAGCAATTACCTTGACATAAAAATTTCGATCCACCATATGTGACTGCCTCTGTATGGGTGTGTCTAGTACTGTGGCAATAGTAGCGGTATTGATAGGTTTGGTCTAGTAGACAGAGGTAGATGTTAGGCAACCTTGGTGGGCTTTGCTAAGACCACCAAGGTTACCACGTGACTTAGCCCGTTGGGACTAAGTCCAACCTTCGTGCTCCATAGGACTAGATAGAATGTCATGCTTTTACAACCTCACAAATCTTTGACCACCTTTGCGTGTAACAGTAGAGGAGCTATCGAAGCAGAATATCACAGAAATTCCACTTTATACGCTAATCTACTTCGAAATGACGTCATGAGGTGTCACTTAGTGTCTCTTGAAATTGACAAATACTGTAAATTAACTACTGTCCCACTCACTAATTAACCGTGGTGCGAATAACTTGTACAAAAGTTGTTCACTTTGCGTGATAGTTATTTGCATCGACGGAAGTGTCACGACCTGGGTTGCATCGCATTGGTAGAGACCTCGATTAGGTGCTATCGACGAAGATTCTACTCTAAGGAGCGAAGGAAAGAAGATCACAAACTTAGGTTTGAGGGAGCGCGACTAAGTCGTCCACGCTTGGCGGGGCTCCTGCAGGGATTATGATTGGCTTCCCATCTGGCACTGCCATGGCAGGTGTTCCAGCTGTAGGTCACCTGGTTGTAGTGAGTCTGCGAGGGTTGACCTTCACAGGAAGCGGACGTCACAATCGCTCCGACCAGCGGGATACACGATGGAGAAGGAGGCTAAGGGCTCTGAGTGGATGGGCGAGGAGAAGGAAGGCCCGGCCGCCCTCCTAGATCACTGGGAGAAGAGATGGCTCTCCGGAGCAGCACAACACGACCGCCAGCGACGCACTATCACCGAGGAGCCGGAAGGCCCTTTGATACGAATGCCGAAACCGGGCAAGTACTCAGGCCTAAACCGACCGGAGGCGTCTACCCTATGCCAGATCAGGACCGGAAAGATAGGACTATCAGCCTTCTTATTTAAGATAGGAGCCTTCGGCGTGTACTCGCCGCTATGCCGCTGTGGAGAGGCCCCCGAAACGGCGGAGCACGTAATCCTCTTTTGCGGCCTGCTGGAAGGATCGAGAGAGCGCTTACGGGCCGCTATCGCACCGTGGCCGCTACACACCCGAAGGGACCTGGCGACGGCGACAGGGAAACCAGCAGTTAGTGGGACTATCACAAGATGGCTACTCAGAACCGGCCGGATGGCGCTTAGGCCCGGATAATCTCGATCTTCTCAAGGGGGACTTTGTTAGTAGGGTAAAACTAACATAGTATTGCAGTGGACGCAACGCAGTCGCTAATAGAGCGAACCTACGTAGCAGCGTATGTATTTAGTCCAGCCATTAGGGCACGGTTTGACATACGGGAGTACTTGCAGAGGTACCGGGGGCTTCGAGCCTACGGCGTATTTAATAATAATAGTAATAATAATATTTGCATCGGCTTAGAGAAAGGGTGGTGTCCCTTGGTACAGTCAGGGTCCAGAAGTGTGGGGACCACTTACGAAAATTCGCGCAACCAACTATAATCACTACATAATTTCATCCTCTCACAAAGGTATCAAAATGCACGCGAATAAGACCGAGTTTTTTAGGGAGCTGATAGCAGGCTATTTTAAAGGCAATAAGCTTACTCCCGTTCAGAGTGCCGCCATAATTACTACAGCAGCAGTGCTAGGCGACCTAATTAAGCGGCTGATTACTATACTAGAGCGCCGGCTTCACGTAGTGAAAAGACCCGTAGTTAGCACACAAAATATGAGTGTATACCCCCTAGGCTGTATTTTAAATTTATTTTATTTGTAAAATCGTTTACATTTCTGGAGAAATGGCTAAATGCTAGCTGTAATGTACTATAACAGTGTGATGTTCCAGCGGGGTGGCCCCCAGACTTTTGGAATATAACTGTAGCTATCAGCCCTCTGTTCAACCGATATGGTTAACTCACATTTGGCGTTTATTAAAATTGACCCCATGATTTTGCGTTATGCGATACAAATGCCTTATAGGTGTCACGACAACTTGGCCTACAGCATACAATACAAAACCACGATAAATGCAATCGATTCTCGGCCTACGTAAGTTAACCTCGCATTACAGTCAAGAAGACATTCCTCTTTCCTAGCTCGTGTGATGTCAATATGCGGAAAAGCTAGGGTCATAACAGCCATGACTTTGTAGTAGAAAAAATGTCAGTGAATCATAACCGTTCTTCCATGAATATCACCATATCCATGCCGGCCAACGTAGAATCCTCTTGGCTTCGACATTCAAACGCCCCGGCTTTCTTCGTGACGCCATATCAAATCACACACAATTCTGATCATCAAACCAATGCTTAAAGTCATTTGAAATCGGGCGCTTCCAGTGCATTCAAGCGAACTGCGGAGCTGTAGCAACCAATGTGGAGAAGACGGCAGCCGCACCTAGGCCAACGAAAGCTGCAACCTCAGCAACCCGACGTCCATACGTCGCCATTTTTGTGAATCGACGTCTCTTTGCCGGTCTCGTCTCGACATCAGCCTCCATCAATGAACCTGCTGCGGATTCAGGAGCAGCACTGTGGGTGGCCAGACCCTTCACAGTTTCTACCTTGGCTCTGTCTCTGGGCACTGACTTGACTGTACTTAAGTCCTCAACAAAGGTGTTGAAACATCGCTTGGGCGGTCTCGCGGCAGGAGACTGTTCAATGATTGTAGAGTACTGGACGCTAACGGGTTGCCTAGCGGAGCGAGACCCCGACGCGAGACTCTTAGCTGTAGCGTCCTCGGCTGGGGTAGCGGCGTGGGATGTTGTGTCGTTTGCCAAAGTAAAAATCTTCGCCACATTATCCTCCGCATAGGCATCGGTGCGAGTAGCGTTGGCGGAAAAACTTGACTGCAAGGAGGCACAGCGCTTGGCCGAAGTACCATCAATAGGAGTCTCCGATTCTCTTGAAACGGGCGACGCCTCTTTGGCCAGCAGATCCTGGATGGGAAGGCGCCGAATGTTTTCCACCTTGGTCTTAGCCGCCAACTTGCTCTGCTGGAATGTGAACGCAGAAGTCATGTCAAGCTCGGGGCTTTGCAGCCGCGTTCGCTTCTCTGACACGGAATTAGGAGGGCTATTGATGAAAGAGTTGCCCGTAGCTATCCAGGCAGACTGCACAGGAGGCGAGAGACTGAGCGCAGCACGGTCGGGCATCCCAAAGTGCAGCGTGTCTGGTACAATTTTACTGTGAGGTAGGGAACTAGCCTTGGCAGGGGTCGGCTCCGTCCAAGCGGAGGCCACCGGTTTCGCAGTTGGGGAAATAGGGGGTCGGGTTTGCTTGTTCGAAGTCTCGCCTGCATTGTTGGCGGTAGCAGAACCCAAGGTTTCTCGTATCGCCGAGATTAGTGGAACAGGCGAAGGCGGCCGGGCCACTGTAGGTGTAGGTGGCTTAATAGGTGCCGATGGCTTTTCAGACATTACAGCCGCGCGACTCTTATTGATATCTCGGGCAGCGAAAAACTCAAACTTTCCCGTTTTCTCGCCCAAGACCTGCGCAGTTGACTTGTAAAGTTGATCGCAGGCCGGATGGGACTTTGCCATAGCGGCATCTGAGGGGCTGGGCTGTCTCTCTCTCTGTCCGGCGGAGTTGAAAGATGCGAGGGAAACAATCCCTGGTTGTCCTTGAGCGAAGCCCGAAGGTTTAGATATAGCCTTCATTGCGTCTGCGAACTTCGATAAATTCGCATTATCAAGGTATGGGGGAGGAGTCGAAGCCCAAGGTGACAAAAATTGAGAGGCGGCTGGAGCATCTGTGCTACTGGGCGGGGGAGGGACGAACAATCCAGTATGTGGGTGTCCAAAGTTGAGCACGTTCTTCGCTTGCTGGGCCACCGGTGATGAGGATGGAGAAGAGTCCTTATGGGACTGGTCGAACAGGCTTGTCTCAACTTGGTCGTCACTCTCAGAATCCATGTTGTCATTCTCATCGAAGTAGTTCTCGTCGCGGAAGATAAGTGCTTCATCCTCTTCGAAATAGTCAGATGTAGAATCTGCGTCCATTTGTGATATACTGGAGTTATCGTCCTCAAGATCACTGTGGTCGTCGCTATCGCTGTTTTCAACGGCCATATCTTCCATGTTGGAGTGCTCTTCGTCCTCCGAGAATGGTAGATGCCGGCTTTCCGATTCATCGGAATCATAAGAGTCCGACACAGAGTCGCCATCATCGGAATCATCCCAACCACCCATTTCCATGGTCGCGTCGTGCATGGCAATGATAGGCGACAGAGAGCGCCGTTCGGCATTGTGCAAATCCTCCCGTTCACCTTCGGCATCCGAACAATAGCTCATTCCATCCGAGTCGCAGTCGGAGTCGGAGTCAGACACAATCCCACCGGGTCTCCAGCGAAGATCGTTGTGGGGTTCAACATCTAGCTCGGATTCTTGCTCTGAGTTATGATCTTCCTTCTCTGGCTCGGAAGCGCCGGCTTCGGAGACGGCGAGGTCAACCTCGGTCTCGGCGTGGCTTGGAAGATCCAACTCGCGTTCAGCCTCGTGGTCAGGCTCGTAGGTGAGATCGATGAAATCTGAGCTCAACGTCTCGTTTCTCTGAACGACAATGGTGTTCGAAGGCGTGTATCGGGACTTGAAGGATGGGCTGTCACCTGTCAGATCAATAGACTCAGTAACTCCATGCGTGCGGTTCTCCATGATGATATCGTTGTCGCTCTCGTCGTAGTCGGGAACGGTGAACTTGTTGGTGGAGGAGAGAATGGCTTTGGTTTCAGATATTCTACAATCACTGATCAGAAAATGTTGGAAAGTCGGGCACTTTAGACTTTGCGAAGCATACGGTTGACTCCAATTCATGTGTACCTCCACTGTGGAGGGTGGGAAAGTTTGTTGCGATCGATAGATGTCGATCCCGAATCGAATCTTGTCTCCGTTAGCAAGCTTGACTTGCTCCTTCTCGGGCAGTCGTTTCTCGGTTCCGTTGCTCGTATGGAAGGTGCCATGAAGTGAGCCGATGTCCTTGATGGAAATACTCTAAAGTTGGGTGGTTAGCCGCAAGTTTTATTGCCTGGGCCAAATACAGACAGCGAGGACAAGCTTACCTTGTTATCAAAGTTTGCTATCAACTCAGCATGCTGGCGGGACATCACCGGGCTCTCAAACCAAGCATTCGCGCGGCCGGCAACAAATCCCTTGGATGGGACCTTTGAGGCTCTGCCAATGAAGATAGATGTGTTTTTGGGGGTAAGTCTGATCTGGCGCTCAGGCTCGACGAACAGAGGACCTGGATTGTAGGCCTTGAGGGTAACAATGACTGGGATGTCTGGGTTAGCAACAATAACAGTACGGTAATGGCGGCGGAGAGTTGAAAGTCAGTGGGGATAGAGGGTGACTGGAAATAGGTGGAAATGAAACAACATACGGTCGCCCTCGTCTCTGGTGGAATCACTACTGAAGTCCATCTTCCCACGATGGACAAGAACCAAGAGGTGAGATGGTTGGCGTACGATCGAAGGTAGATCTTAATGGGGGGGGGGGGGGGGGGGGGGGGATTTAAGACGCTCTCGAAGCGATCCTGGTGAGTTTAAGGCTCCCCAGGCGACGCAGTTCTGATGACAGCCTCCACCCAGAATCAATCAAGCCTCTCCAGCGCGGGGAAGTGGCCCTGGTTGATAGGTGGATGCGAAGCAGGTGGCTTGAAGGTTTCTGAATGCGTAGGAAAGGTGTGCGCCTCGAAGACAAAGAGGTTTTGGTCGAGTTTGGTCGATCAAAAACGATAGACAGGCAAGATGAAGTTAATGGAATGGAGCTGAGAGGGGAAATGTGGTTGTAGTGAAGTTGAAGGTGCAGCCACGACCTCCCTCTTGCCTGCCCCTGCCTGGTGAGAGTCTAACCCAGGCCAATCAAAGTGCGGGGTGGGTTTAGGTGGTGGGGCAGTGAATGTGTCAGAGCTGCCGCCCTTAGCACTGACCCAGCAGTTCAAGTCGTGCTCAGATTCTGGTCACTATTTTTCTGAATTTCCTTGCCAAAATTCAAACACGAAGATCAACGGTTGTGTGTTGCCTTGCCAGTTTCACCAAATACAACAGATGCGATTGCCTTGCGTTCGGTTCTGCGAGGTCACGAGTTGGCAAGGACGGAACGGGTCGTTGGTTGGAGCTCTTATCACGATGATAAGGCCGCCGCAGGGGTTACAAGGGTCGGTAGCGGACTTGTTAGTGGATTTTGGCTGCCTGATATCCACAGTTGCACTTTCGGTACCCCGCGTCGAGACAGCAGTTGGCACCATTTCAACTCGGTGGATCAGATGTGATGCGAGGCAAAGGTGGAATGACATTTGGCGGTACGAGATTCGAGTCTGAATTGCGCCTTCAAATTTCCTTGCTCTCTATCTACAATTATTACAGAAGAACTAGTTATCTGAATTGTTCGGAGATTGAGCCATTTATTTAGCCCATCTCGACAAATGAACTCTGTTTGTCACCATGAACCATTGCATATACTCAGGCCGCCGCCCTCACCAGCAATCCCGAAATTGAGACTTCAATAGTCTAATACAATACTTTGGACTTGGCTGGAAAAAGGCCGGCGTTCAACAATATTGGAAGATCCCTCTGGCTTTTGCGCAATACGGTGTGGTTCATGCCCATAGCTGGCAAGGCGGACCATCTGCTCACTTGACACGTACAAACCGGGCGAGATCGACCTACATGTCAATTAAAGAGCACCAGTAGAGTCTAGCCTTCTACTGTGGTGCATTTGTTACGACACGAGGACATCTTATCGATTTTCGATCAAAGTCCAGAGTCCTCTTGATCTTGCCGTCTGTTTCCCGCAATTGTCCCGGTTGACAGCACATGGTGCAACTCCCAGCGGTTACTCTTGTGCTGCTAACCCCGAGGGCGTTGCCGAAAACCTGCTGCAGTCTGGATGTCCGCAGTACAGGTCCTGAATCTTGACAAGGTTATCCGAGGGGTCCGGAGACTCCTTCATCGAGAAACGGCAATCGCATTTGGCTCTATTGAGCTCACAAACATGCAGTTATTCCAGCACAGGAGTCAAAGCATTCGAACACCTGTGATCTGAAAGCTTGTCATACTCGTACACTGCAACCTCGTCACCACTTTGGATCCCATCGCGCGGTGCCATCTACTTGAATATATTACCCGTTGGGGCTTAGCTCCCCTACGACAATAGTGCAGTCACATCCTTGCCTGTGATCCAGTATCCTGGCAGACCATCACCAGCTGGGGGCAACCCCGCCATTTAGCCCTGGGTTCACGGAGGCAAGAGGTGCGCGGTGAAAAAGTGATTGCATCATCGCTGTCGCCTAAAGTTCAGGGTACCAAGGTTTGGCCCTGATTTCAAAACGAGTCACCGAGGCTTGCCATTCTGCATAATCCCATTTATATCCGCACTTTTCCATCGTGTATTGGCTTGGGAATTTGGTGCACCGTCCCAAAAAGCCCTTGCCAAAATCTCGGAGTCACTGCCCCAACATCCATTCCGTAAGCTTGTGCCAGACGATCCATAATAACCGCCAGGCAACAACACCATTGTACCGTACGATCATTTATTTCCATATGTACCATTCCGCGTGGAACTCTATTCGAGAAGGGCTTTCCATTTCTATTATATATTCCTCGAGTACCCATCGAACATTCTGTTATCCCCATATTTTTGCCACAACCCCCCAATTTTTTACGGTGTTTGTCGCTGAGACACCAGCATCATGAGAGACTTGCGCAAGAAAGCCCTCCTTGAGAGCGGCAAGACCATGTCGCGCAAAGCGCGCACCCGTGAAGTTTCCAATTTCGGCTCTACGAATCAGTCGCCATTGAGTTCCTCAGCCAACTCGCGCCCGGGTTCACGTGCGCCAAGTCGATATGCATCAGAAGACGAGGACACGGAGGACGAGGATGTTAACGACAGTCTTACCAACTCAGTCATTCATTCGGATGACGGTGAAGACGTTATCACGGATTGGACTGATAGGCTCAAAGATTGCATTAGCGAAATCCTCGACCGCAAAAGGAGTAGCGTTCACGGTCGTGAATCGTACATGGCGGCATACGTACATTTGACGCGACATCACTTTGCCGATACCATAATCGAGTCTCATCTGTACGAACTCATTCCAGCACTATTGAAGAGCATCCGTAGTGGTCGCAATACCGAGGAGAAAGTCGCAGCATTGAAAGCGCTCACAATGACCATGCTCTCCACCCAGTCGGACGGAATCTACGACCAAGTCTTTTCGAGTTTGAAGTCGGCAAGCGAGAGCTCGGATGAGGAAATAGTCAAGGTGGAAGCAATCAATACCATGACTGTGGCAACAATGTTTGGTGGAGGGATGGAAGCAGCTGCAGAAGATTTGATGGACTTTCTTCTTGAGATTATAGAGAGTGATGGACATCACATTGAAGCAGGCGATAATGGGCCTGTTGTCAGCACAGCCTTGACATGTTGGGGATTCCTTGCCAGCCACCTTGATGACCTTCAGTCTCAATCTGAACAAGCCATCGAGGCCTTCACGGAGCAACTCGATAGTACCGATGTGGATGTGCAAATCGCAGCTGGAACCAATGTTGCTTTGATCTTCGAAGTTCTGCGTGCATATAACGATCGGCTGGAAGAGGAACACGAAGAGAAGCAGGAATGTGCCAGACAAGAGGCAAAGGTGAACAAAAAGGAGTTCAAGGCAGAGCCATTTCAACCCTACGATCTCCAGTATAATCAACATCAACTTGTCCAGCGAATGACAGAGCTTGCAAAGGAATCCTCAAAGGCAGTGTCAAAGAGGGACCGACGACAACTACATGCTCGCTTTGCTAGCATAGTCACCTCACTGGAATCTGGCAAAGGCCCTGGGTATTCCAAGGCAGGCCGTGTTGCACGCGAGTCGGACAGAGGAGGTGCGAGGGTTTTTGACGCCGAGAAGGTGTTCTCAGAGTTTGGATACAGGGAAACGATCCGAGATCAGAACATGTCGCTGACAATCGACTCCTGGTCGCTGTCCATACGAGTGGCGTTCTTGAAGAAGGTTCTTGGAGGTGGATTCTTGACCCACTGGTCCGACAATCCGACTGTACAGGAAAGCTTTGACACTGCATGAGTTGGGTTTGGACATGCTTCATAATGTTTTGGGTCGAGGCGTTATCCAGTTTTTGATTTAGTATCAGTCTCATGTTGTATTGTGTCACTGAGATACCCGGCATCGGTTATTCAAACAAAGTGGGAAAAAGGGTTATAGAGATATAAGTTGATGAATTTATAAAAGTATCCAGGCAATAGATTTGGAATTACACTTCATACTCCATATTTGTGAAAAGAGCAACTCGTTATTCAGTGCGGGCTGTCCGTCATGAAATGCGTAACAGAAAACCAAACGGTTGGGAGCACGCGGCTTTGTCCCAAGAACGACTTGCCGGCTTCACGTTGTTCCTCGTGCACCTCTTTAAGTCCTCCAAGTTATACCCCATGCATCTCAAAGTAGTTCCAACGACATACCTTACCACCAGTAGGAGCTAGTCCTCGGCAACATCACATCATCACTTTTCACCAACGAACGACTTGTTTGTAACAGGTCCGCTGCTCTCTTGATTTAGTTGTACCATGACCTATGACCAACCAGCGGTCACCCTCACGCTAGCCGGCTCAGTAGAAACCGGCTCATGGTACTAGAAACTGACGCCGTTTTACTCTGTATTGTATTAGCCGACAACGACAAAGAGTTTTACGCCTTCCTCCCTCGCTAGTAACCACGACTCCTGCACTACGCAGGGAATATACAGTGCGATGAAAAACAGGTTAACTGATGACCATTCAAGCTTAATAATATTAAGGGACGTTGTGGCAACGTCATCAATTCAACAAGCCTTGGTCTGGAGAAGGCTGCATATGGATAGAGGCGCATTGATTGCTTCCTGCTGTGACATGAGGCAAACTCCTCGAGACTGGGTAGCACCCCCTGGACTGTTATTGGTTTGGTGCGGGTTTGTCCAACATGTCTGAGGCTGGTGTATACCTGAGTGATCATCGGCCAGTCTTGGTTGATTTCACACTATAGGTGGAGTGAGTGGGATTATGACGAGGCTTGGTAGAGGGAGGCCTACTTCCACATAGGCTACTGTTCTCAATGTCAAGGTATGCCAATATCTCTCTACGAAAGTAAGAGGTTGAGTATGCAATCAACTACATGTAATCCAGCTTTAAAAATTGAACTTGCTGCGCATCTGATGTGTGGTCCTCGTGCCTCACATTCTTGTTGGCCTAGTCAATGCTTGTATCCCTACCATGCTTGCGTCGAACAAAACAAGAAGATTGGGGAGTGAATGTGCCTGCCATCCATACTACAATTTGACTGTACTATGAAGACATTATGTAGAATAACGCATAGATCGCTTAGCTGATTCCTAATACAGTTTCAAGTCAGACGCTAGGATTCAGTGTTTCAGGGAAAGTCAAAAGTGTGTTTGTCTAAGCTGCGTTATCTACTCACCTAGGTAGGGAGTACGCAATCGCAGAGCTCGCGCCTAATACTCTATAATCCGAAGACGAGGTCAGTATATCTACGGCACCCAAGCGGACGGTAACATAGATGACTTACCGAGTATAGTAGTACATGATCGCCCGGAATAATGGTTTTAAACCAGGCATAACAGTTCGGTTGCACTATTTGCTAGAACTGCTTTGTTACCAATTGCAACTACAATGAGAAGGGTTTCTGGCTTCAATCAAAGTTAGGAGTGCGTCTTTTTATGGTTGGATTGATATTCAAAGTTTCACAGCAACTGGAGGTGGAAGAGAACAAATAAAGGAAATTCTTAATTAGAAAAAGGCACAGCTCAAGGACCAGGCTAGTGTACTGGGTCAATATTCACCTCTAGAAAGCTGGTATTGGTAATGGTCAAACGACCATCATGTCATGCCTGATGGACCCAATGCGAGCGTACGGCATAACTCTGCTTTGAGTGAAATTTGTGAGCAACACCCAATTAGCCAACCAGTTCAGATGCCGTTCCCTCTTTGGCCATGACTAGTACGACGGCGCAGGATGGCGCAGTTACATAGTGGGAGAAGTTATATATCTTGATGTTGTTGAGTTGACAGCGAATCCGGTGTACTAGGGTGAGAGAGGGTATGGGATAAGACAATGGAGTGGGCGAGGACAGCTGAGCAGGGGGGTTGAATCATTGGGGGGAGCTTTTGGAGTGGTGGGCGTGATGCAGGACGAGACTGGTGTTATACTTGCGGTCACTTTGATTTAGGCCCTGATTTAGCCGTCGGCTGGTAATTCTTTCGCAACACTTACATTCTCGGAAGTGGGCGATGCCTTGACGGGAATTTTCTTGTATTTTCCTGACGGGTTGGTAAAGCTTGTCGGTAATGTTTAAGTGTGTACATATGATGATGGATTTCATTCCTTCATACACGGGCTTAGATATGGACATCTTCTGACTGATCTCGAAGCGCTTTCACCTCCATCTCAGATGGTAATATTTGTACAAGAAAGTTGAATCTTTTGCGGCAACATGAGCAAGGGCACCCCCCTTAAAAGTTCGACGCCGCCGTCACCTCGACATTCGCGGCGATACTAACATTATCGACCACAATCGTCTTACCACCCTCGCCAGTAATCCTGATGGACACCGTCTCCGTTCCAAACCCGCTCTGGTTCTCAAAGAAGTTGTACTCTTGGCGCTCTGTCGCAGTCCAGGAGCTCCCCCCATCGGTGCTGACCTCGAGCTTCGTCACAGGGACATTGGCGTTGATGACCTGCATGCTGAACCAGTAGGCCGATGTGCCCTCCTTGTTGCGCAGCGAGATGGGCGTCGTGATGCCGCACTCTACGAACTCATAGCTGATGTCGATGACGCCCTTTGATACGTCGGCTAGCGTCTCGAAGGCATTTTGGAAGAGGTCTAGGTGGCTGGCTTCGCATTCGGGGCATTGGTCGACGATCTGGTGGATTGTTTAGTGTGTTGATTCATGATGGTTCTTGGGATGAGATGGGATGGGATGAGATGAGATTAGTCAGCTTACCATGGCTGTCAACTTGTCACCGTCCGGACCAGTCACTTCGACACATTGACCGCAGTGAGCCGCAGTGTCCCAGGACGAGCCGGAGAAGGCGGTGCCAAACAGCGAGGAGGGCAGGGTGTAAGATGTGAAAGAGCATGTGCCGCCCGCCACGTTACCGCCGTAGAAGGTGGCCGAGCCGCTGACTGCGTCGCTATCGGCGACTGTACTAGCTACCGTGGTTGCAACTGCTGCTGCTGAGGTGGAAGTCGAAGTAGGCAAAGGGGTTGTCTCTGTGGTCTCGGCCAGAGTTGACGTCGCCGAGGTGGAAATCGAAGTAGGCAAAGGGGTTGTCTCTACGATCTCGACCAGAGTTGATGCCGCCGAAGTGGGGATAGCGACCTTCTTTGTTGCGGAGCTGATGACAGTAGCCAGAGTTGAGCTCTGGTAGACTGAGCTGGTTAAAACAGAAGTTGGCAGAGCCGCATTGGTGCTGGATGGCACAGAGACGATGGTGGTGGGAATCTGCGTAGTGGCAGAGAGCAGAGTATTGCGGTTTCTGCACTTGCGGCCGAGAGCCGGGCTGGCCGCAAGGGCGAGAACAAAGAATGACGATGTGTGCATCTTGAAAGAATGGAATATGAGAAAGTCGACTTCCCAGTTGTGGTGAATGAATGAATGAATGAATGGATGTGTATGTATGGTATTGTACCAGCCAGGGCTTGAACAGCAAAAAAATGAGCGTACGAAACAAGATGTTCTAATCAGTCAGTCCGTCGAGCAAAGAGCGAAACGTAGAGAATCTCTACAGGTAAGTAAGTGAAGGGGTGACTGAAATGCAAGGAGCGAGACGCTGTGAGATATCCCCTTCATCAGCACCACTAACGCACGATGCTGGCGTGGTTTAATTAAAAGTGGCCGAGACTTTCCCTACTGGGTTCCTAAGACCCATTTACAGCAGCTGCCCATTGCTGTTGTCTCTAACCGTATGTCCCGGGATCTAGGAATGCTAGTACAGATCACTTCGATCAATTACGAGCCAATTATAGACTGTATGCAGGGCACGTATCGTGGGTCCGTCGTTCGATAAGGCTAGCCAGGAAAATGCGGGCGTCCAGGTTGATGCGTGGACCTGAAACCAAGCAATAAATTGTAATTGGGGTGCCTGGAGACTGACAGGGTCCTTCCACGCCCTTGACAAGGGATACGCATCCACCTTGCATGTTCTAGGCCTCGGCAGGGGGAAAAGAAAACAGATATGCTATGTTTAGCAGTTAGGAGATTCCCATTTTTCAGGTTAGACGAGTAATCCGATCTATAAGAGGTCCACGACTTCTCCATATTCACTTCCAACATGAAGCTCTCATATTACACCTTTATAGGCAGTTGCATCTGTAGATTTGGCATAACGGGGCACCTGCATATAGTCCGTAGTTAGTTGCACTCATGTGTGAAAAAAAAATCGGAACCCCCTCCACGTGTGGAGAAACTCGACCGCAGCTGACATGCGTTCTGATTAGAGGAACAATACCCAAGCTTGTACTGAGCCACCACATGGACCACAAATTTCGAAAATGGGCAGCACAAAGACAGGTGCCAGGGACAATTGTGCATGAAGCCGGGATGAGACAAACACAAACTCCAATTGTGGATGAGGTCTTGGATGGAGAGATCATGTGGGCTACTTGAGTTTCGAGTATCTCAGTAGACGGAAGTCTTGCCTCCATAAAACACTCCTGGCGCATGCTGTATAACCCAAAGTCGAGGTCGATGGTAAGATTCCAAAAACATAGCCAGTTCTAAGGCTTGCTTGTGCGTTGCAGAGAGCCATATGATGAGTTGAATGTCATAAGTTGATCATAAGTGTCACCCATTTATTTGCAATAGGATTATATGACACGAATGAGTCAGTCTGCGGCCTCATCGGCCGGCAGGCCCGGCATATTTTTGGCGCGCAGCTCCCACAAGACGGAGCTCTCATCCGCCGGTGATCAACTCGTCAACCCCACACACCCAAGCAGGCTCCCGCACCCACAGACGTGCAGACGGCCGTTCCGCCGCGACCAGTATCTCCGCTCGGCCTCTTCATGACCTTACCTGGACGTGAAGCTCAACATGATGCACCTTGCTCTGGACCAATCGAGCCAGCCAATCCCCGCGTTTTACAGACAGGCTGACCCATGCGTGTTTCCGGGTGCCGGTATCGAACATAATATGGAGTGGTTACAGACACTTCATCCTACCCTTTGCAGCCTCTCGTGTGAACGTGGACTAAGGGTGTTCGAAGGCGGATCCATGGACCGCTGAGAAATACCAGACACGCTTAAGGTTTTGTTTCTCGTATCAAATCAAGAATCTCAGCGGAAGGGTAAGAAAACCCTTCTGCTCTCTTCATCCACTACAAGTGCAAAAGACTAAGATGGTGTCAAAAGATAAGCAAGCCGGGGCAGCCAGCAGAGCCCATAGTCTCTCGCTACACTTTCTCCTAGTCGCAGAGTCCGAGTCCTCAAGCGCTTCTATATTCATACGGCGAACCGGATGGAAAAGTGATGTCTCTATCCCTTGAACATTACGGTCCAGGAGCCTAGAGGAGAGGACGTCCACTAATATCGGAGCATGTATACAGGGCCCCCCCTGTCTGTGTCAGCGGGTTTGTACATAAGCGGTGCACTTGCTCGTGGAATGTACCAACCTGCTGTCAGTGCAGAAATCCTTCCTTGCATGACAACGCATCTGAAGAAAGACTTTGAGACCGAGCAGAAGTCACAAATACCCGTAGCGCAACTTCAACCTGCTTGCAATCTGGAAGTGAGCCTGAACACCCTGAGCCTGGAAGAACAATAAAAGAAACGCAACCTGACGCAAGACTCCTAGTGTAAAAACTGCAACTTCTAAAGCAAGTATAAGCAATTCCCGACCGTGTGAAAGAAACTCAGTATTACCCACTAGAGCCCTGTTACTAGAAAGCTGGCAGTAGGCTCAGCAGAGCTTGAAAAGTTTGTGAGGAGTCTGCAACCTTACACAACAAAATTGTCACAAAGCCTAATTGTGATATTTTCAGGTTAGCAGACTTCACCCATTGGAAGTTAGCAGTAAGTACACAAGAGCACGCAAATGTTTGTAGTGGGCTTTGCGACCTCACTTCTGCATATGAACACCGCATGTCAGTGACGGATCAAATTCAGACAGCACACTTGGTAGGCGTGGTTGCCCCTCATCCAACACAACCGTGCGGTACTAAGACGCGCATATTAGCAAAGGTTGACATAACGAGAGAGAGAAAGAGAGAGAAGGGAGACCGGGTAGAGGGGCGCATGGAGTAGGAAAGCACTCACACACAGACACAGGTCAACGGCGTTCTGATGAATACTTCTCTGGTAATTGCACCGGTTGAGTATTGTGTTGATAGACTGCGTGGTTCACAAGGCAGGCTTGCACTTCACCTTTGCGCCCAATGACTTGACACTTCTGATATGACCATGCATATCCAGGAGCATTCTAAAACCACTTGTTATTTATGAACTTTCGATATTTGTGGAGAGCATATGGCTCTAACGAAACTACGCAAGTGAGAATTTGTCAAGATTCTAGAGATACATGAACCGATAAGGAATTCCACAGCCAGCCACTATGAAGAAAGGGAGTTTCATAGAATGAATTAATTACCAAGAACGTTTTAACAATAGTTAGATATTCTTATCCGACCATATCTTCAGCCTTTTAAGAAGCTCTATGTCAGTCTCCACTGTAACGTCCCACACCCACATCCGGGACACCCCCACATGTGGGACACCCAAAAATGCCTCATCAACACCGCTAGCCTCCAACTTCAACCTCTTTTATCTTTACCAATATCGATTCAATCGTTACGAAATTTTACGTACATCTTCTTTACACTAATATAAGTCAATATACCGAAGATGATATTTATCGAGCTCTTCAAGCAATAGCTACCGGTTGTGACGGGCTGTCACGCCGTGCTAGGGGTTGCAATCCTTGCCACTACGCCACTGTACCAGATGTCTTCACCAAAAGAGACCAATACCAAAGTCCCTGACTTTGATATCTGCAACCACTTATCAATCTGTTCAAACCAGTGTAGGTCAATCACGTGACAACCGTCACACGGGCTCACTGCGAAACTATACAGCTCAACATGGCCAAATACTGTTAATTATCTAACTGAGGAGGAAAGTAAAATAAGCGAGTTTTCCGAGAACACAAACCATGTTTTTATATGCCCTCGATGGTTCCTTTGGTGGATCCGGACGCAAGGTTCTTGCGGCTCCGGATCCCATTTCAGGCACAGCCTGTCACACCGGTCAAAGCCTCCGAAAAGCAGCATATGAGCATGGTGTCCCAAGGTCTACTCTTTCACGACGGATTCAGGGAGCCCAGTCAAGAGATATAGCCTTCGCTGACTACCAGAGGCTCTCTCCAGCCCAGGAATCTCATCTGGCTGAATGGGTTCGAATCCAGGCTGCCCTAGGCCTCCCACCAACCCATCAACAGCTCAAAGACTTCGCCGAGCGTATCCTATAGATCCACGGAGACACCGAACCACTTGGAAAGAACTGGGTCCAGGCTTTTATCAAGAGGAACCCTTCAGTCAAGGTCCAGCGAAGCAGAGCTATCGATTCCCAGCGTATTAATGGAGCCTCAGCTAATGTGATCAGGCAATGGTTCAAATACCTCGCTATCCCTGAGATCAAAGCTATTAAGGCCTCGAATCGATACAATATGGATGAGACAGGTATTCTAGAAGGTAGAGGATCAAATGGTCTTGTTCTAGGATCATCTGAGACTCGTCCTATACGGAAGAAACAGCCTGGATCTCGAGCTTGGACATCTCTTATAGAGTGTATCTCTGCGACTGGTACTGCACTACCCCCACTTGTGATATACAAGGGGAAGTCTGTCCAGCAGCAGTGGTTTCCTCTGGACTTGACTCCATACGAAGCCTGGAGGTTTACAGTGTCACGACCTGGGTTGCATCGCATTGGTAGAGACCTCGATTAGGTGCTATCGACGAAGATTCTACTCTAAGGAGCGAAGGAAAGAAGATGACAACTTAGGTTTGAGGGAGCGCGACTAAGTCATCCACGCTTGGCGGGGCTCCTACAAGGGTTATGATTGGCTTCCCATCTGACACTGCCAGGGCAGGTGTTCCAGCTGTAAGTCACCTGGTTGTAGTGAGTCTGCGAGGGTTGACCTTCACATACAGCAACAGAGAATGGGTGGACGTCAGACTCTACGGCTATTGAGTGGCTACAAAAGATCTTTATTCCTTTAACTCAACCAGAGGACCCTGAAGAGACTAGGTTACTTATCCTAGATGGGCATAGTAGCCACGTGATACGAAAAGGTAGGGGGACCCACTGTTTAGGTGAATCCCATTCAATTAGATACTATAACGTTGCGCACTACTGCATTATAGCATCCATCCAAATACCTAGCGGCTACTCTTTCGGAAAGTTCAAAAGGGCTTTGATGAGAAGGACTACTAGTTAGCTGTCGCACAGCGAAAGATTAAGGCAATAGAGGCAGAGCTTGAGGCTAGTAGGGCTAGGAAGCGGAGGAAGGTCAAGATGAGCCCAAATTCGAAGTTTACTAATATCAAGGCTATTCGGAAGGCTCAAATCGAGGCTAGTGAAATTGAGGATAGTACAGATGAGTCTAGCGAGTCTGAAAACCCTAGTGACGGTGAAAGCTGTATTGTAGTCGCATCAGAATAAGTATTAAAAAAGGTTGAAGTTAATGGTTATAATATACAGCGTAATTTTTAGGGCGTCCCACATGTGGGGGTGTCCCGGATGTGGGCGTGGGACGTTAATAAAGATCATGGGCTACAAGATGCCGTCATCGCCTTCACCGTGTCCGCAGATATCGCACTCTTATTGTAGATTCGACTACGTGCGACAACGAGGAGATAAATGAAGTTATTTACGGGCTTATTCCATGAGAATATCAAGACTGATACCAACTGGAACAAACATGAACAGCTAGCTGTGTGAAGCTATTGTGAGGCCCGTCAGGCTTACTTATAGACCAGCTTAGAGAAGCCTGGTTCGGGCAGGTCTATGAAGGTTTTTCGCGACACGTCACTGGATGATTCATAGTAAAACTTTACCAGAAGTCTCAAAAAGGCTGCATTTGCGCTAGAAATACTGTTTCCACAAGCGAGCAAGCACTTTGGGGTGTATTTCGAGTTTAGTTGGATGTATTAAGTAAATATATAGAAGGCAACGCATCCATGTAAATTGTTTTATTTTGTCAGAATTGAAAGAGAGGAAATACTTATCGTCTGCGTAAAGTCCGACGCTATGCCCATACCGGCAGGTCACTTCTGCCCTCTGCAGGACTTGCTGCAAGATTATGAGCTGGAATTGCTCCAGACACGATACCTTCAGAAGATTTGGGCTGTGACCTGCCGACGGAGGCTTTACCTGGGGCGAGGTGCTGTCAACGCACCGAGATGCCGTCCTCTAGGCGTTGTAGTTCATAACGGAGAGGGACTGCTGGCCTCTAGATAATTGGGGTGGGATCGAAAACGAGGAAGATAAGGAGTACATATCAGTGGCAACTACCGAATGCCACGGACAAGGCCTGATCGATTCCTGTGTGGAAAACCTACTTTTGCGCATTAAACGCCGGGTCAACCTCTGGTGGAAGGCCTTTCAGTATGATCCGGAACATGACAACCTCAAAGCCTCGTCCTCGAAGCCAAGATGACTATATATCTCAGGGATGGCAGTAGGCTATTGGTTTCACCAATCACGAAGCCCGTGGCGTGTTGGATCATGGAAGCGCTGGCACTTGCATAAATTGGATTCTATGACAGCATACCAGTTCTCCTTGGGATATAATGGGAGCAGAAGGACTCCTGGATCCGTCCTGTCGATGACTCCTGAAGAAACTCTCTTTGTCGGTGAACTTGGCCGTCTCCCGCCAATGATCGAGTTTGTCGACGGTTGGGTCCCGGACCGAAAACTCCCCGTCGACTTTGAGTACGGCACCTTCAGGGGAGGCATTCCAGAGTTTCACCTTGGGTCCGAAGTACTGGTCGAACATGGTATGGTCTTTTTTTCTTTTTTTTTTTATAAAAGAGCCCTTGGTCGAACCCTTGGGTGACGTCGATGTATTCGACCCATTTTTATTAAAACGCTTAGCTTCTGCTTGAATGTCGCGGTTCAGAGACTCGGCTAGGTCATTGATGGCTTTGCAAAGGCCTATAGCGAGCTTCAGTCATGAGTCTTGTTGGACCAAATAACCGTCAAAAGATGAGGGACCCACTCGTATTAGAATGAGGTATTTTTGGTAGTTATAAGTCTTCCTCGCCACGAAGCTCTGGTCATTATAGCATGTGGAAGAAGTGGGCACATAAAATGGCGCAGAGATGGATATCTTCGCTATCCTTGACTGCTTCATATTGCCGCAAATTACTGAGAGTCTTCTCGGTTTGCACTTGAGCGTTGGCATTAACCAACCTACGAGCGTCCTGGATGGCCTTGGCACACTCCCCGTTGGGACCCGGATATTCTGGACTGTGGTCTCTGTCTCTAATCTGGAATAGACGATTGCTACTAAAACCCAACATCGTTGCCCCCGGCTTGCATTGCAATAATATTGGGCTTGCCGCCTGCATCCATCTGGTTGTAGCCATTGAGAGTCATCTCGACCATGTTTAAGAAGAGCGAAATGCAAGTCTTGGTCTTTGCTATCGGGAACCCGGCTAGAGTTCTGGCTGACCTTGACAGAGTAGGCATGGCTGATTCGCAGACATTCGTCTTTGTTATGATCGTAATCGGTTCATCCGATCAAGTTGTAATTGGAGCCGCTATCTTTCAGGGTCATTAAGTGATAGAAAGATCCTCATGAGCTGTTATCTACTCTGGACTTACAGCTCAAGGGTCACCAATGGCGCCGTACACGAACTTTTGCCACCACTTCTGATCTTGAAAAACCATGTGGATACGTAAAAATTGCTAGAAGCTAAGAGGTCATAACCAGGAGGTGTGTCATGGTGAAGTAATGCATGGTGCAAGACGAGCAGGTCTGTCACGACTTTAATGCACCAAATTCAGAATGTAATTGTGATTCGACATCCTCTACTCTTCTGATGTTTTATCACTCTTTAACATCCAATACAAGTTGACCTTGTCAACACAGGCACCACATAGCTTCAGTAGAGCTATACAGCTGAAAATGCCACTCGGACCCAAGCCAGCTTGAGTTTGGAGATTTAGCTCATGGCCAACATGTATCCAGGGTCGGACTCGGAGGTCAATAGGGCTGAACAGCTTAATCCAATGGGAACTCGGGTTGGAATGGGCTGGCGGAACCCACTTCAGACTCTGGGTCCAGCATTTTAGACCGTTGAAAACATGCCGCAATGAGAGCGGAATCTTGGGAGATTGAAATACTCTAGAAAACACGTTTATCCGTGTATTTCAAAAATGCTGAGGAAGAATATCGAGATGAGGTTGAGGCAGGACGTGTAAAGTTGACATGGACAAGGGCGGATGCGTCGGAAGTTGCTGTACAGGGATATATCTCTGATAGGCGCAAATCCAAACTCATTGCTGCAAGCGATTGAAACTTCAGGGTCCTTCACAATTAAAGGTATCTTGCCCGACAGGTCTTTCTTGCTACCCTACTCCGAATCGCAGCAATTGCAGCGACATTTCATTTCTCTCGTCGGCTGGTGTAGTTGGTCACTTCGCTGGTAGATAAGTCCCGATTTGAGCCTCGCCCACTTTTTTCGGTGACGAGTCGCGGGTTCGAATCCCGCAGCTGACACACAAGGGGGTTTAGTCAACCCTTACGGCGCTGTGCCCACCTTATTGACTTCGCCTACCTAGCGATAATAGGGAGATTGGTGCAGTTTAGGATTACGAGCATCCTAGCCAGTCGACCGTCAAGCACTACGTCGGCGGAATATAACTCGACAGCCGGTCCAGAATTCGAATCGTTAATCCGACCCCTTATCGGACCCCCTCTCGCCGCGATTCTTGCGAGCGTCTAGACCACGTTACGGTCTATCCACTTGAGCGTATGGTGGAGATGTATACGCTCGACGAGAACCCCAATTAGCAGATACTACGACTTGTCGCGACAAAAAATAGTCGAGCATCTTCTGCACATCAGCAGCATCCCACCCCTGAGGACGAATTTAAGTGCCACATTACCACACTTATCAGTAGTTCAGGCAGGGGTTGTAGCACAGACTTAGGGAGGGACAGGAGGTTTAGTAGTCGTTTGGCTACAAGTTTACCTGTATAACCGCCCGACGCGGCTTAAGGGCCCGCTATATCATCTATAGCCCCTTAAGGGAGTACTTGTAGAGGTACCGAGGGTTAACACCTACGGCGTATTTAATATTTATTTTCATTTCTCTCGGTCGCAGTTGTAATCATACATAAAGAGCAATCTACGGGAGTAATTATGGGGTTGTTGCACTACAGTGTCGCACATTGGGGGTGTCAGTCGAGTAAAAGGTTGTCACCATCGGCACCGATGGTTATCACCTACCACCCCTCCTCCGACTTCTTCGGCTCATTGACACCATACTCACTGAAGCGAGCCTCTCAAAAGGCATTGCCGTGACGCATCATCGTTCATATTCTGCCCTACTCAGCAGCTTCTCTTGTTGGCTTTTGCTTCCCATTTGAGCACCCAGCCAGCACGCAGTCAGCAACCATGGCGTCATCACATGAGCTGAAAGGGCTCAATGCGGCGATTGACACTACGCCCATCATCGACAACCATGCGCATCCTCTATTGACACCAGCAGCTCTAGGCAAGTACCCACTGCTGTCAATCGCCACTGAAGCTCATGGTGAGGCCTTGAACGACTCGTGGTCAAGCCTGTCCCATGTTCGTGCCACCAAGCAGCTGGCCCAGATTCTTGGTTGCGAGCAGACCTGGGAAGCTGTCGAGGCTGCCATCGAGCAGCAACGCACTCAGTCTCCCGATGAGTGGACGCAACGGTGCATGCAAGGCATCGAGACCCTTCTGCTGGACGATGGCCTTGACGGCGGTGACGAGGTCTATGGTTACTCTTGGCATGACCGCTTTGTTCGGAGCAAGTGCAAGCGTATTGTCAGGATCGAAGCTGTTGCTACCGACATCATCCGACGCCATGTCGCTGCTGGACTCAAACCAGACGGCGAGGGGCTATTGACGGACATCCTGCAGGACTTCAGAACCAACATTGAACGGTCCATAGCTGACCCCGAAGTCGTCGGGTTCAAGTCCATCATTTGCTATCGAGGGGGTCTCGATATTCCGTGCATGGCAGATGTCGGATTGGAGGGCTCAAGGCAAGCCCTCGAGGCAATCTTTGCGGCAAATCGATGTGGCACTCCATTCCAACGATTGCAGAACCTACCCTTGAACCATCTATTCGTCCACACGACGGCCAATCTCATTGACACCAGCAGCGCCCTGCACAAGAAGCCCATCCAATTCCACACTGGCCTGGGTGACAACGACATTACGCTCACCAAATCATCACCTGCCCACCTCCAGCAGTTCATCAGCGAGTATCCATCGGTGCCTGTTGTGATACTCCATGCGAGCTATCCCTGGTCAAGGGAGGCTGGGTATCTAGCGGCGATGTATCCCAACGTGTATGCCGACATTGGGGAAGTGTTCCCATTCATTAGCCGAGACGGCCAGGAAGGCGTCGTGAAGCAGATACTGGAACTGTGTCCATGGTCCAAGATCCTGTGGAGCACGGATGGCCACTGGTTTCCTGAGACTTATATCCTGGCGACGACACAAATCAGGTCTGTCCTCAAAACCGTACTAGGAGACTACGTTCGCAAGAATCAACTGAACGAGGAACAAGCCGTGCAACTCGTCCGGGGCATATTGTTCACCAACTCCAAGAAGCTTTACAATCTCCACTTGGACACTGTTCTCGCTCCATCACCACAGCCGATGGCGGCAAGTCTGGACAGAGGGCAAGAAACAACCCGAACCTCCCGGCCAAACCTGGCTATTCTTGAGAAGCTACGAAAACTGGAATGCAAGTGGCTCAGGATATACTGGCAAGACTACACATCCACTGCAAGGTGTCGGCTGATACCACTCAAGCGCGTCATCGCCACGCTCGAAAGCGGCAAACCTATGACGCTCTCAATCACCAAGGCGGCTCTAGGCTTGTTGCCAAACGACGCCATGATTCCAGAGGCCACGGCTACTGGGGCATATGCCCTTCAGCCCGACTGGTCGTCTCTAAAACCGGGGCCTGCTCCCGGTCATGCCAGCTGCTTTGGTGTGTTCCACGAGATGGATGGGAAAGATGTCGCAATATGCCCACGGACGCTGCTACGAAAGACAATCGAAACAGCTGCGTCCCATGGGCTGACATTCATCCTCGGATTTGAAATTGAGTTCGTCATCATGGAACGTAATCCCGATCCAACGAGCGAGGAAAAATACCGCACAATGACAAACGACGGTCATGCGTGGTCCGTCGCCCGAGTACTGGCAGACACGGGCCGAGAAGGCAGCTTCAACAGTGTCGTCGACGACATCGTGGACTGCCTCGACGACGCCGGTATTTTGATCGAGCAGTTCCACTCCGAAAGTGCGCTCGGGCAGTACGAACTCGTGCTCCCCCCCATGCCTCCCATGGAAGTTTGCGATGCCTTGCTACACACGCGTCAGGTCCTCGAGTCCGTGGCCGCACGACACGGTTTCCGTATGACACTGCACCCCAAGCCATTCGCGGATCGATGCGGCTCCGCCTCGCATGTGCACATGTCCGTCTCGTCTCCTGGTGGTGACGAACCCCGGGTGTACGAAGCATTCTATGCTGGGATTCTCAAGCACTTGCGTGCCATCATTGCTCTCACGTACAGTAATCCCACGAGCTACGATCGCATGGTTGATGGCTATTGGGCGGGCGGTAGATGGGTTACGTGGGGTACAGAAAACAAGGAGGCTCCTCTGAGGAAATGCGAGAACAGTCATTGGGAATTCAAGACGATGGATGGGCTGGCCAACCCGTATTTCGCGGTGGCTGCTATTCTTGCGGCAGGAACTAATGGTATTGTGAAGAGGGAGCGGTTGACATGGGGAGACTGCGAGCCCGACCCCGCGAACCTCAACGATGAGCAGCGGAAGAAACTGGGCATCTCACAGATGCTGCCGGCAGACTTGAAAGAGGCATTGCAGGCATTGAAAGAAGATAGCGAACTCGGCGACCTTCTCGGACCGGCCTTTGTCAGGCGGTACATTGACGTCAAGGAGGCCGAACTGGAGATGCTCAATCCAATGGGTGTCGAGGAACGTCGCCGGTGGATCATGGAAAGATACTGAGCAATGACTCGGGCCTTCACCTCGTCTATTTTCTGTGGATAGAACGCAGAGTAGCCACTGCCGTGCACCGACGAATTTACAAACGCTGATTCATCCCCAAATTTCCGTACTTGCTGACTGACTAGTCCTCGGTGTTGAACAGCCCCCGCCAGGAAATGAGGACGCCATAACAAGTCTCGCAGCCGACGTTGCACTTCGACAGCGGTACTATCGACGGAACTGACACCGACGGATACGCAACATGGTACATCCTTGTGAAATGATGCACATGTGGCAACGACGAAGTGGGTTGTGCACTCAGAAGATCCACAAGCCCGTGGCGACCCACTGTCTGTCCGGTAGGCGGCTTGGCTCCGGGAACTGCACAACAACCAAGTTTTCCGAGGGTTTTCTCCTGACAGTCACCGGCTTGCCTCGTTCTAAGTCGATCCGGTTGCGTAGATGGTAATTTCAGTGTGGTGTTTTAATTACTTTAACTTTGCAACTAGAGTCTTGGTGGATGGTGAATGGTGGATGTCGGTACTTGCTAGAAGAGAGCACATGACATGGTGGAATAGGAGGTGTAACGTTTAGAACCTAGGTTACAAATACAATCCAATGGAACATTTTCGACATCCACTTTCATTCGAGTTTGATTGAATTCGGCACATACACCTTCGGAAAGACATTAGTGAACGAGAGGACCCATTTGTGCCTGCTCCGAACGGCACGCACCTGACTTACGAACATGGTCAAGATTATCACAACCCTGTTCACGTCTCCGACTCACGATGAAGTCTATGAGATGCCGGTCGTGGATATCCATGTTGACGTGGGCACGGCATGGAATCCCGAGGCGAGATATTACCTACAAGAGGAACTATAAAGCAAGCCAGGTGCTGCTCTTCTTTGTATTTCGAACAGACACTTCATCCCACCCAAAACCCAAAGACCACACATAAGCAAAAAGCTTACGAAAATTGCTCCTGCCTTCGCGCACTCCGGTGCCGCGGGCAGGAGGCGCCAGCATCGGTCTTGTGGGTTACCCTTCTTTCATTACACATCTGATGAAAGAGCACTGATCACTGACCCGCGGTATTCTGGTTGCTGTAAAGTCCCACACCCACATCCGGGACACCCCATCATGTGGGACGCCCTAAAAATGATGCTGTATATTATAACCATTGACTTCAACCTTTTTTTACACTTATTCTGATGCGACTACAATACAGCTTTCACCGTCACTAGGGTTTTCAGACTCGCTAGACTCATCTGTACTATCCTCAATTTCACCAGCCTCGATTTGAGCCTTCCGAATAGCCTTGATATTAGTAAACTTCGAATTAGAGCTCATCTTGACCTTCCTCCGCTTCCTAGCCCTACTAGCCTCGAGATCTGCCTCTATTGCCCCAATCTTTCGCTGTGCGACAGCTAACTGGTAGTTCTTCTCATCAAAGCCCTTTTGAACTTTCCGAAAGAGTAGCCGCTGGGTATTTGGATCACTATCAAGCTTGCTGAATAAGCTGAGTTGATCTTGGAGCTCATCTCTCCTCTTAGGCGTTGACCAGGCTACTGCTGATGTCTCTAACGCCCAGTCCTGACTACTAGAGTGCCCTTTGCAAGTCTGACTAGGCTGTTTGATTGGTGCTGACGTATTCTCAAGGAGCAGGGGGCTCATAAGGGGTCTAGCTATGCTCGAAGGCCAGAGACTAGTATATTTCCATCCACTGATAATGTTCTTGACGGTTAATGCTGCTAGACGTGCCTTTCTATAGCAGAGGAGAAAGTTTCTCTTCCCTACGATAGTAGTAGTATCCCATTGGTTAAGGTAACCAAGCTCTTTCTTATAGGCTGCCTTGAGGGGTCCAAAGACTGACTGATCGAGAGGCTGGAGAACGTGGCATGTGTGTGGCGGTAAGAAAAGCAAGTGTATCTTGTTTATGAAGCAGAGGTACATAAACTCTGTCGTTTCGTGGCTACTATGCCCATCTAGGATAAGTAACCTAGTCTCTTCAGGGTCCTCTGGTTGAGTCAAAGGAATAAAGATCTTTTGTAGCCACTCAATAGCCGTAGAGTCTGACGTCCACCCATTCTCTGTTGCTGTAAACCTCCAGGCTTCGTATGGAGTCAAGTCCAGAGGAAACCACTGCTGCTGGACAGACTTCCCCCTGTATATCACAAGTGGGGGTAGTGCAGTACCAGTCGCAGAGATACACTCTATAAGAGGTGTCCAAGCTCGAGATCCAGGCTGTTTCTTCCGTATAGAACGAGTCTCAGATGATCCTAGAACAAGGCCATTTGATCCTCTACCTTCTAGAATACCTGTCTCATCCATATTGTATCGATTCGAGGCCTTAATAGCTTTGATCTCAGGGATAGCGAGGTATTTGAACCATTGCCTGATCACATTAGCTGAGGCTCCATTAATACGCTGGGAATCGATAGCTCTGCTTCGCTGGACCGTGACTGAAGGGTTCCTCTTGATAAAAGCCTGGACCCAGTTCTTTCCAAGTGGTTCGGCGTCTCCGTGGATCTATAGGATACGCTCGGCGAAGTCTTTGAGCTGTTGATGGGTTGGTGGGAGGCCTAGGGCAGCCTGGATTCGAACCCATTCAGCCAGATGAGGTTCCTGGGCTGGAGAGAGCCTCTGGTAGTCAGCGAAGGCTATATCTCTTGACTGGGCTCCCTGAATCCGTCGTGAAAGAGTAGACCTTGGGACACCATGCTCATATGCTGCTTTTCGGAGGCTTTGACTGGTAGCTATTGCTTGAAGAGCTTGATAAATATCATCTTCGGTATATTGACTCATATTAGTGTAAAGAAGACGTACGTAAAATTTCGTAACGATTGAATCGATATTGGTAAAGATTTTTATTATTATTAAATACGCCGTAGGCTCGAAGCCCCCGGTACCTCTACAAGTGCTCCCGTATGTCAAACCGTGCCCTAATGGCTGGACTAAATTGGTAAAGAAAAAAGAGGTTGAAGTTAGAGGCTAGCGGTGTTGATGAGGCATTTTTGGGTGTCCCGGATGTGGTGTGGGACGTTAATGCTTCTATAAAATGTGTTGCACCCTCTGACCAAATTTGCTGATACTGGCCCGGGATCCAGCTGGACATGCTATACAGCGTCATTTGCTGGCGGATGCTTTTAGTGCCAAGGCGCTGCGGGAACAAGAGGGTATAGCAAGCCACTACGTTGATGGATTTCTGGATCAGATGGGAAAGCTTGATGGAGGACCTCGAGGGGTGGATGGTACCAAGGCGCTCAGTTGGTTGACCTTGGATAGTATTGGCGAGTTTCCTTCTACTGGCTCTCAAGTTTCAGTGCGAGAAATTAGCCAACTAACAATGCTCCTCTAGGCGACTTTGCATCCCGGAAGTTTTTGGTTGTGTCAAGGAAGGCGTATTAACTACTAGGTTTCCCAGATATTAGGCTCTAATTACATCTAGCTAGAGTACTTTAAGGCTACAGAATGTATCCTGATCGTCCTGGACCTTCTCCGCTTAGTGCTCCCCAGCGACATGCTTGCTCAACTCGCTAGGCATCAACGATCTGCACTCGAGAAGATGTGCGAGCGCATCGCTCTAGGTGACACAGGCTGTGCAGATTTCTTCGGTCACATACTCAGCTCCAACCTAACTGACAAAGGGAAGCACAACGAGGCCTTGCTCGCCTCCAAGTCCATGGTCCCCACCACTGCCGGTTCCGAGACCACGGCCACCACGCTGGCCGCCATTACTCAATACCTCTTGCGCAACTGCCACTACCTCTCCCACCTGACTAAAGAAGTACAGGATGCTTTCGATGAGTACGTTAACATCACCGCTGACATCGTCCAGCGCCTCCTACCTCCTCGCCATTATCGAAGGCCTCACATCTACCCGCCCGTGTCCTAAGGCCTGCCGCGCGCGTCCCCGGACGAGTTTATCCCCCCCGGCGCCACCATGTTCACGCGATACTTCGCCCTGGCAAGCTTTAGGTCTCGTGGGAGAAGCCCAAGTTGATGGTGGGGTTTCATGAGGCGAATGGATGGAAGGTGAATGAGGTGGCGTGGTAGATGGGTGGATGGTCGCAACTGGCTAGGGGAGAAATGAGGCGAACGGATGGAAGGTGGATGAGGGGGCGTGGTAGATGGGTGGATGGTCGCAACGGGCTAGGGGAGAAGAGGGGAGGTATGAGGAGTGGTAATGGTTGGGGGTGATGGGCGATAGGCGCGGTTTTTGTATCCCACAGAGTTTCTTTTGGTTTGGGTCTTGGTGGTTTTGTTTATAGAAACATGGGCGCTATCTTTTTATTGGGATTGGGATAAATTGGGGACTGAGATTCGTTTCACCGTTTCACGACGTCATTCGTTCGAGGGAGATTGCTATATAGCATAGCTGCTTTACAAGAGACATTGTTGTTTGGAAGACCTTTGACCGCTACTGGGCAAGCACTCCCAACGTGATAGCTGGGCCTGATGTCGGACCGCACCAGCCCTTTGCTAGCCCTTTGCTAGCCCTTTTTGTGCCCAATGGCAATATTAGAGTTTTCTTGGCTGTTACAATGGACCTACTGGTATCTTCAGCCAAGCTGATTACCTCATATATCCGCTCCGATACAGTACGTACTCTGGGACTCTTGCATGTCTTCGAGTATTTAAAGGCCCGTATGGCCCGTCACACTGGTCGAGTAAATGCGCGTTCCGTTCTATCCTTGGTCATAGCTTGCAATAAGTCCAATGCTTCAGCTTCCCAGAACGATTGTGAGTACAGTAACACTAAAAAGCTACTCGACTCAACACATTCTCTGTCCTTTTGCTGTATTCTTTTTTAAGATTTATTACGGTTTCAGATAGACTAAAGGTCGACTTGTTTTATACACTTGTAATATTACAATTATAACAAGAACTCTCGAGACCGCAATATGCTACCTAATGTCACTTTGCCGCTCTTTGGTCCGTGCGGATGAAGCATAAGCTCAAAAATATACTGCTAATTGGGAGGTCGCACTGGTACTGGCATTCCGGCTACATACGAAGGTGGAAGGAAATACAGGCGAGGGCGTCCAGGCCGCACCAAGGCACCAAAGTATGTCAGGTGTACCTCCTCCGTGACCTTAGGCCACCAATTCCACACTAAGTTGCGAATGAAAAAGGACAGCCAATTCATTCGCCCTTTGTTATTTATTGCGAAATGGTATTGTATGATGTGACTCGACCTGGTTTCGGTCGTAGGTGTATATGTCGAGGTTTACTCTTTTATGTACAACCACACAGTAATCATGTAAGAAGTATCCTGCTACGGATGAAAACCGTACACTGTGATTTTCGTTACTCTAAATATCCGTCTTGCTTCTGCAAGAAGCTGGTATATGGTGTAGATATTAGAAGGAGCAAAGGGAAGCTTCCGAGGCTGATGTCCTGCCGGTCCGACAACCATGGGGCTGCAGCTGTCCAGGATATGTACGCACCTGCGCAAGTAGGTTGAGTGCCCGACCCCTGATCCCTGGCCCTGGCCCTGATCCCCTGAAGAGCAATGGAAGGTCACCAAGAGACGACGCGTCACATCGAGTCAACAACTGTTCCGAGTGCTTCACTCTTGTGGTAACGTTGCCTCAATTTATCCAAAATTGGAAGACTACGACTGTGACTGAGAAGGATCAGACGAAGAATCAATGGCTGACGATGGTCCGGCCCTTGCCTCCTGGAAGCGCACCCTGTCTCGGCAGATCGGTGCCATCCAGACCTTCGGTGACTTCTCAACGTCGAAGCGACACTCCGCGTTTGCCAATCCAGGATTGCGCGTAGCCAATTCTCTCATCCCACTTCCACTTACCCCCCGCGATGCAGAAACCATCAAAACCATCTGCAAGCCAGCCCCATTCGGCGGCGGCGAGGAGACGGTCGTAGATGCATCAGTGCGTAAGACATGGGAGTTGAACCACGATCAGTTCAGTCTTTCGAATCCAGCGTGGAATGACTTCTTTGACTCTCTGCTCAAGGACACGGCGAGCAGTCTCGGCATGGTATAAGTCCACGCCGAGCTCTACAAGCTCCTGCTCTACGAGGAAGGGTCCTTCTTCAAGCGCCACAAGGACTCCGAGAAAGTCGCGGGAATGATCGGGACTCTGGTCATCTGTCTCCCTTCGGAGCACAGCGGAGGCGACGTTTACCTGTCGCACGGGACGAGCAGTCGAGTCTTTGCGACGGGGCCGGCGTCGGCGTTTGATCTCACGGCTCTGGCGTGGTATTCTGATGTCACGCATGAGATCAAGGAGATCAAGTCGGGGTATCGCTTGGTCCTCACGTACAATATTATTCAAAGAGCGGGTGCGGCCGTATCAGCCGATGCTTTTAGCAAGCAGCAGACGCGTCTGCAGAGTCTGTTGGGCGACTGGCATGTAAAATTCCCGGATACTTCTAATCTGCTCTACGTTCTGGAACACAAGTACTCGCAGTCAAGTCTGTCGCTGAACCACTTGAAGGGTCGTGATGGCGCCGTTTGCCGGAGCCTGGCAAACTTGAGCTTGCAGAATGGGTTCTTCCTTCTTCTCGCTAACTTAGCGAACACGAAAAAAGAAGAAGATGACTACTACGGCTGCAGCTATGAGGATGATGCAAGTCTCACACTAGACACAGTGCGTGCATGCGACGGGCGCGAGCTCGAGCTCGCGTCTGGCATCCACGTCGGGCTGGAAGATATCCTTGGCGCGAACCCCTACAAGGACCGAAGTGCCGACAGCGAGGATGAAGGCGACTTCACTGGCAACGAAAGCGCGCCGGCGACCTTGAGATACCACGATGCCGTTGCTGTGCTGGTCCGGAGGGAGCATTTCTATGAATTCGGCGGACAATCGTGCGAAAACGTCAGTCAGATGCTTCGCCTCATATGCGAGGACCTTGAAGCGCATGGCGATGATATCAGTGTCAGAAACAGCGCTATAACTTTTATGGGGAAAGCTGTGCAAAGCTCCATGGATGGTGACGGATTGCGTCTTATCACTCGTTGGGCCCTTGAGCTGCGCCAAGATCATCCGTACCGGGCTGCAGTTCGCGCTTCCATCGTCCGAAAACTTACAAATGATCTGGTGGGTGAAATCGCCTGCATCATTAACAAGAGCTCCCAGAGCAAGGTTTGGAGCCACAAGGAGTGGGGTGGATATCTGGACGAGTTCGTCCGCCAGCATCGATATCTCACCGACCTGTCATCTACTCTTCGTGGAGTTGAGACATCACTCAGGGCCGATCTTCAGCCTTCGTTCAGAAACTGGCGTGCATTGGTCGAGCTGCAACAATTTAGTGGCAAGTCATCGCTGGTTCTGCAGGACCATGGTTTCATTATGAATTTGATGATCTTGAGGTCGAGAGACACAGACTGGATTCTGAATCAGTGAGTGGTCATTTCAATTGCGACAACTGTCTTGCCTTTATGTTCCACGAGCCAACAGCCTCGTATACTGTATGGGTCGCTTCTGGTCTTGGGTGTGGCCCGGCCTGTCGACCCATTGGGTGGCCAGAGCTGGCTGTATCTTCGCTGACGAGCTAACTGTATCATAGATTGATACCAACGTTATGTGATCGTGGCGAAAGGCCGCTTCTCCATGCGATCCTGGACACTGTCCTCCATAAGTCTCCGGCTGCGCTCCCTACAGGCCACGCCATTGCCGAAGAATTACTGAGTACGGCACAATCGAAGCTGAAAGTAGTCCTTTGTGATATCGCAGCCTCCTATTACGCCTCTGAAGACTCACAGGAACCTGCATTCAAGTTCATCAACCTTCTAGACAAGTGTTTTAGCTGCGACCTGACAACCCAGGCGACCAACTTGCTCAACGCAAGCTGTGACAACATCGTTCGGTCCCAACGTAACGTGGCCCAAATCGGATACGCGGATGGTACCTCCGTCGTGAAATTCCTACGTGCTCTCCTGGTCGTCATGCAAAAACACCGCCTGCCGCCTTTGACCACCGTAAAGCAGCTATTTGCATCATTGATCCGCAAACAGTTGCTGGACGGTGTTCCGACGTATCCCACGAGGCTCCATGGTTAGACTTACAAGCGCCAGAGATACCCGAATTACGATGAATACAAGGAACTGGACAGCTTTCTCTGCGATGCGGACCAAAAAGTGATATCTTTTCGCAAGAACCAGTCGATTCGGTGCCACATTCAGTATCAGCTACAACTGCAAGCCTTCACATTCCATACCGAAACGAGAGGAACTCCACACACGCTCATTATCACAAAGCGCGGCAATGAGTTCGAGGTAGATTTACAACGATACCACGCTCAACTGGCCAAAGTGGAAGAAAGACTGAGGCCTTTCCGCCACGGCTATGTGGAACAGTTGCTCGGCGAAGTGCTGTACCGAGAGATAGTGATGCTGGAGAACGTAATTGATTCGGAAGGTTCTAGGCTGCTGGCGAGCGGGACGAAGAGACCGGCCGAGGATGAGTTGGTGGATCCAAGCTTTGCGAGGCCTCGACTGGATGGGATACCAGGCTCTCTCCGAGATCCCATTGAGCTGGACTAAGCTCGAGACATTATGATAGTTTGGTCTTCTTCATGATGCCTTGTGCCGTCCAACCTGGCGGGCGTCGCGACTTTCGTGCGTCATAACGATGGGGATGTGGCGGGTGACTGCAGCCAATTGTCCTGTAGTTCTAGCAAGTGATTTCCATCAAGGGTCCAAAGAAGTGATTCTTCACCTGCAACACTTCAAGCAGGCAACCAGAGCCTTATTGAGCCATCAGGTCTTGATCTTGGTGCGACACTGATGAGTTCAACAAGTAACGTCGCGGACCTGTTGCCCGTTACCAATAGTCGTTACCAATAGTGACAAGTTAGTCACGGCGCACACGTGCGAGTCTTGCAGTAGTGTGGGATTGAGGCGCAATCGTCTTCCAGGGTCTTCCAGGGTGATCTTCATTTGGATCAAACGAACTTGAGCAACGATCGTCCACTTGAGAACATCAAGAATCTTATCGGATGCTGTTGATCGACAGAAGCTGTGTTGTCCCTTTTGATGCACGGCTGCTGCCTTGAACGTCGAGAGAACTCGGGTCACAGATCGATGTGTTGCAGGGACTTGAATTGAGAGTCGGGTAATGTCGTGATCGCGCCAATCGGCTAGGCGCTGGACGTCCGTGCACTGTCCCAATTTCGACGGGGCAAGTCTCCAGTAAATAGCCTACCCGCAATCCCCAGACCCTCTTTGCCCCTCGTAGCACTTGGGGAAAGAAGTGGAAAAGGAAGCCTTTGACACCTGCTTGGCATCGTGTAAGCGTCGGGGCAGATGATCAAGCCGAAAACTAAGCAATGTCGAGGAAAGCTTGGTATGAATTCAATCCATGTTGATAAACAGGAAATACGACGCCACACGAAACACTGACCGATCTGGTGGGCGATGGACTGATTCGAATTACTTGGCGCGCCGCTGTCATCATTTGGTAGGGAGCAACGAAGCTGCAGGCGCCTGTCACCCGGGGCATCATCTGGGTACTAGCTATATGCACCACACACCCACACACACACACACCACAAACTCGCGGCCCATTCACCCTCCATTCTGCAAACAGGGAAGCGAATCCCCCTTTCATCATCGTGCAATCCGACACTTTATTGCCTGGTCTGTAGCCCAATTCACTTTACCTCTGCATCAACCCAGTTTTACCACCCACGCGGACCCTGGGCGGCAGGATATCAACCATAACAACACGCGACAAATGATTTTTTGGTTTTAATCGACCTTGCGACATCTTCCTTGCCCTTCGTTGTTGTCGCTCGTTTAAAGAACGCGCAGTGGACTCCTGCGCTTCACAACCAGACATGGTGTCTTTCTTTCGGCGCGCTGCGGCAGCGCTTCTGTGTGTCAGCCCTTTCGTGTCGGCGGCCTTCTATTCTATCGACTCAGATGGTATGTGATGTGGATTTCGTTCGCTACCCGTGTCACCTTCAATGCTTCTCGTTCGACAATGAACAGGCGACCCATAACTGATTCCACATCTCCGGCAGATGCCATTAAACAATCATGCAAAACGCTCGCCTACGATTTGATGACATACTATAAAGGCAACGAGTCTGGACAGACACCAGGAATCCTCCCCGGTCCGCCACCTGCGGGTGATTACTACTGGTGGGAAGGCGGTGCGTTGTGGGGAACTATGATTGATTATTGGCATTTGACGGGCGACGACACCTACAACGACGTAGTCACTCAATCCCTGCTGTGGCAGGTCGGCCCCAACAAGGACTACATGCCGCCGAACGTCACGGCATCCCTTGGCAATGATGATCAAGGCTTCTGGGGCATGACGGCCATGCTTGCCGCCGAGGAGGGTTTTCCGAACCCGCCGGAGGACGAACCGCAGTGGCTGGCTTTAGCACAGGCTGTCTTCAACACCCAGGCCGACCCTCAACGACACGACAAGTCGTGCAACGGAGGTCTGCGGTGGCAGATTCCCTTCTCCAACAATGGATACAACTACAAGAACAGCATTGCCAACGGCTGTTTCTTCAATCTTGGCGCTCGCTTAGCCCGTTACACCCAGAACGATACGTACGCCAAATGGGCCGAGGAGACGTGGGACTGGGTCCGCGGCGTGGGTTTTATGGATAACGACTACAACATTTACGACGGAGCCCATGTCGAGCACAACTGTACTGATATCAACAAGGCCCAGTTCTCTTACAACAACGGTGTCTTTCTCCTGGGAGCCGCCTACATGTACAACTATGTAAGCATTTGCACAGGTATGTATTAATCAGGAAGGCCGGGTTACTAACTGCTATACAGACCGAAGGAAGTCCGAGGTGGAAGACGGAACTCGACAACCTGCTCGACGCTACTCTGAAGGTCTTCTTCCCCAACAACATCGCCTTCGAAATCGCCTGCGAAGAGCACATGACCTGCACAACAGACATGTTGAGTTTCAAGGGTTACGTCCATCGGTGGATGTCAACCATCACGCAGGTTGCCCCATACACGGCCGAAAAGATCCAGCCCGTCCTGAAGCAATCAGCGACAGCGGCCATCAATCAATGCACCGGTGGGGACAATCAGCGAACCTGTGGATTTGGCTGGGCAAGTGGCGCTTTCGATAATAGCGTTGGTGCAGGCCAGACGATGAACGTTCTTGCGGCAGTCTCTTCGCTCCTCATTGGTGGCACCAAGGCACCCTTTACAAACGATACTGGCGGTACTAGCGGCGGTGACGTCAATGCGGGACAAGGAAGTGATACTTTCTCCAATACTCCAACAACGATAGGCACAGGAGATCGGGCAGGCGCGGGTATTCTGACACTCTTGATCCTGGCATCTACAGCAGGTACCTTCGGCTGGATGAGCACGGGTCTATGAGAGATGATATTTACGGCAGGCTACGAGTTCATTTCTCAACACACTGTACTAACTTGCGAGTTTGACACGAAGTCATTCTCGGTTTGGGATACAACGGCGTCTAGGACAGGGCAGATGGATATTGCCGGGGGCAGGGGTCAAGTAGCGTTTATTACATGCTCTTCTGAATACTTACTACATAGCCCAGGAAGAGGGGCACTCATCCCGTTGCCTGGAACGCAATAGTAATCTAGTACCACAAACACACATGAAAGTTTTGTTCTTCACATATGCCCTTGTATCAACGCAAGGTCCTGGCGATGGCGAAGACGTTTCGTTTTGTTCCATTTTCAATCCGAGGATTCCGAGAGGCCTGTACTAGCTAGGTTTGGTGCTCAGACAGCGGTTAACCCCGTCCAAACTCCCATGGCTATGCGCAATGTGAGGGAACTCAATCTGGGGCACGGGTGCTCGCCCGGCTGGGTGGTAAATACTAATTACCGATATGAGTATCATGAGATGATTACGCAACACGTCGCGTGTCAGACGCGAACTAACGGGTTCTGCTACCGGTCGGAGAATCATGTGTGGACAGGGTGTCGCTTGAGGTGTTGCTTATTGCAATAACAGCGGGCCTTTTCGGCTTGGTGACATCCACGTAAGTAAACAATGGGAATTCTTGAAGAGGTGTTAACTACCTGATATATAAAATCCATAGATCCGAGGTATAGCTCTATTTAAGGCTTCTTCTACACAGGCCATAAAACCCTCAGGGAAGAGGTTGTTACCGCCGCACTCAGGTAGGACAGGTATCAAATTCCGGCACGAACCTAGCTCTTTGGCTAATTTTTATGAGCTTGTATCAAGTTACACAAAATTACAGCTACAGTAAATACGATTTCAAGCCCCTTAATGGCTCAGAGTATCTTGAAAAGAGGTAAAGGGCTATTGACCATGTCTTCGTCACTAGGCCATTTTGCAACCATGTCTTCACTTACAGACCTTATGTTTTGATCATTCGGTAGCGTAATGGACAAACAGGCCAAATATTTCATGAAACCGCGACTGTGGTCGACTCGCCGTCGCGAGCTAACCTGGAAGGCTTCGCGAAGCGTCAGGTTAACCCTCGGCCGGCGCTGGGGGAAATCGATACCAGTATTCAACCGCCATCCTCCCCAGCCCCACTGCACACTCCTCGGGCCAGTAAACGAGACCTCACATGCGATGAACGTCTCGAGTGTCGACTTATGAGGAATATGTTTCTCTGACTTGACATACCCTCAGGCGCATCCTGAGAGCCAGTGATTCAGGTTTTCAAGAATAAGTACTGGTACCGAGTCGGGGTCCAGCAAGAGAGACTGTTACCGAGCAAGTTATAACAGTGCCAGAAGTCACATTTGCCGGGAGAGGGCATGTTCTGACTGCAAGGAGGCAGCATATAGGGGTTGAAGAGTCCAGTAGTAGAAAGCTGGAGGTTAGCGACCCGCATGATTACGTCTACGGATACCTAGCTCTTTTGCCGAAGAGGAAAGACATCATATCAAAGTGGACTACTTGCTCTGCATCGCCCAAACATACTCGACGGTCATTTGGAATGAGATTGCTCGAAGTATTTGCGTCGATTTCTTGTGCCATATCAGCGCCTCTACATCTTCTGATAAACTTCCCACTTGGCTCCCCGAACCCCTCAAGAAATCGCGGCGGACAGCTTAATTTATCTCAAATTTCTGCTCCGCATCTTTTGGAGGCGGCAGACTGGATCTGGTGGCCATATCTGATGATAGTCTCGTATTTTTCTTGAGAGACTTCATGGTAGACGTTGTCAGGGCTGCTATTGCAGATGGCCCTTCTGTCAGAGAACAGAATGCCATAGGCACCCGTGGGTGTCAGGACACTGAACGCAGGACACCGGTGGGCCGCCGGAGGGGTGTTTCGGACAAAAGACTCCCGAGTCATGATTACAATCTATGTGAAGCTTTGGGATGACGAGAGTCAAGATCCTTGGCATCGCCGACCCTGCTGTTATGCCGGGTCCAAGCGGCGGCCTAGCTATCTATATAAGGACCATCTCGAAGTAGGATAGGGAAGGAGTTGTCAGAGCCACAAGTGTCATCCGAGGCGGTCCGGCTTCCACCAGGTAGGAAGCCGTTTGTGGCGGCTAGAGAGCCGCTTGTGGCGAATGAGAGCCGTTGAAGCCGTTTGCAGCGGATAGGGAATCGCTTGGTTGCAGATAAGGAGCCGCTGTCCAAGATATTGGCCGAAGTCGGAGGAACACAGACATACGGAAGCAAACATCCAGAATCCAAGAGAGAACCTCGGCTGGCTATAAGTAAGGAGTCGAGACGGAGGAAGATAGAGAGGGCAGAGATCAATGCATCACCGTGGGCACCCCTACCTGAGACCGCCAGTGACCACCCGGTATTACGTAGGAGGGATGCCCGTTACTCCCCATCACTCTGTACTATTGCCTTCGGCCTAGCCATACCCTGACACCTTCGCATATTGTCCCAATCAAATCCTGGTTATCTGAACAACTGGATCTCTACTGCGGCATGTGGCCATCAAGAAACCTGAATCTCTCCGGTCTGGCCAGGAACTCGTCCAAACTGTTCAGACTGTGTTGTTCGACCGGGTTTTGAAACCCACAATCGAAGCAGATGATACTCATCTGTGCCTAGCATTTTTGGGCATATTCTCCGCAGCAGCCACCAACACTCATCGCAATTGGGATAATGTATATTTTCTGAAGGGGACTGGGCTAACAGAAGCACCCGCTGCATTTCTCATACTCCAGGTGCTATTGGGTTACGCTATACTGGATACTGAGCCGAAGCGGCTTGGACTTGTAGAGTTGACCAAACCCAAACCTGCACCCTCAGACGGTGATCAGGTTTGGGTCGTCGTTGGATGCTCGAGGCCAATCATCCTCCGGTCTGAGGGCAATGAATTAGGGCGATTCGTACACATTATAGCCAATACGACTGCGATGATGATAGATGGAGTTGCAGAGCACTTCTTGCACCAGAAAGAGGCCAAGGGTATGTCTCGCGACGATGTGATTGTGGACTTTGAAATTGTATGAGAGAATGGATGCTGACGAAGCTGGATTTGGACCTGATAGGTAATCTTAGCTTCGTTCTTATTGCACACGACTTTGGAAGAGATGGGTGCAATGCGTGTTCAGAGGAGTCTACGGTGATAAATATCAACGATGGAAAAGCAGGTGAGCACATCAGGAAGCTCGGTCACAATGTTCGTGTTACTCAGATCAATTCGCACATTGGTGTCGCATGCGAATTAAAGTAGTTCAGAGATATGCAATAGAACTGAATCATAGACTCACATCTTACATGTCAAATGAAGTTACTATCGCAATACCATCTCCACTCTGCTTCATAATAAAATGCCACCATGGACGCCTGTTGCGTGTCCTAGTAACATCCAGGGGCGATTGCGGTAACAAGCCCCACCCAGTGGACTTGCGGTGTTTCATGTCTGCTTGTGAGCCAAGCCATGATTTCTCACAAGAAACAAGCTTCGTCGTAACAAGATTCTCATTCTCATTTTAGACTTCAGTCATGTCAATTTGTATCAATTGCTCAAGCACATTCTATACTTAACCAGACCGACGCCTCACCTTTGAATCAAAGCATACAACCGGAAGCGGGGCGGGCCTCACTGAACACCAAAACCACAACTCGCTGCGTCTCCTCACTCAACATGCCCCCAGCCATAAACCTTCACGACCCAAGCGTCTTCCCTTCCTTCTATTCGCTACCGGAAGCATTGGAAACATCAGCGTCGGCGTCTCCAAACCTTGACGACCATGTCGCCGCTGCCAATAAGGGGTGGTATATGGTGGCGCAGGTGAAAGAGAACATGACCATCACGAAGCCGACGCTGATCGTGACGGACCGGACGGGCATGGACTTTGCCGTCATCTTCGAGGACACCAGTATGAACTTGAAGGGGATGGGATTGAAGAAGGGGATGACGATTGTGGTGCCTCGTGGGTTGAGGACGGTTACGGGGGAGGGAAGGAAGGCGATTATGAGGGTTGAGAGGGGGGCGGGTGGGGGTGTGAAGGTAAGGGGATTTTCGAGTTGTGTGGTTTGATGCACGGATGGACTAGTGCTTGATGGTTGAATGAATGCAAGAGAGGTGCATTTCCAGTCGCTAATCCAGGAATCCAGGCGATACCCGGGAGTCTGGAATTGGTCATGGCCGTGGGCGAGGGCATGGCAGACGAGAGCTTTGGGACAAAGTGCTGGGGATGCAAGGAGGAAAAGGAGGCGCTTAAAAAGTGCACCGGTTGCGACACGGTGGTATACTGCAGCAAGGTGAGTGTCTGTTCTGGGGCACCTCGAGTTACTACTATAAAGTCAAATTGCTGAAAAGAGTTCGTTGCCCCTTCCAGGAATGTCAGGTTAGGTCGTGGGAAGCCGGTCACAAGAAGGGGTGCAGGGTCGTTAAGGCTGTCAAGGAGGTTTGGCCGGCAATTTGTGCTTAGGGGTTGAAGAAAGCTTATATGGGATAGCACAAGTTGATGGATGGATAAGGTTCACTACCAATCCCACGTTAATTGCGCGGCACAGTCCGAATACGCCGGCTTTTCCACTAGGCAAAATCCATCATTCGGATTCTTTACGGAGGACCTGAACCCGGCCAGTCTGACCGGGCTTATGTGGGGCTATTTCGGTGGTAGCTCCTGTCATCTACTGCCAACCTATCCTAGCTCAAGAGCTAGCCATCACCGAGCAAAGAAACAACTAGAAAGACGCCGTACGATTCACCTTCCTACACCCCTAAATTGAGGTACCGAATTGCAGAGTCCAAAATGATGCGACTCGGGTCGCTAAACCATGGTCCCATCTTGCTGAGATAACAAGAATAGGGTATCCCCCATGTCAACAACGACCGCACGTTATGAGCGAAAGTTAAGTTTTGGCCGGAGCACCAACACTCTTTCTTGTTAGGATTTCTCTTGAAATATTGGCGGTAGCAGTGCGAGTTCACGGTAATTGGCACCGCAGCGGGAGAAGTTGTGTCGACTTGTAAAAACCCTATGTAGGGGATTAGGGTGATATCGTGTAACTAGACTGCCCCAAGGTATATAAGTCGTCCATCTTGCCCACATCACACTTTCTTGTTCTTCCCTCTACACAACAAGCTGCAGATATTCCTGGGTGGCCGACGATTTAATCCCCTCAGGCACAAGAGACACAAGAAAATTTCAATCCTTCAACCACACGCAATAAGAACAACAGCAACATGGTCGTCTTCAAGTCCAAACCAGAATACACGGTCCTAGACCCCAACTTCCAACCCGGGCCCAAGAACGGCCACCTTTCGGAAAGAGATCCTGAGTATGCAGCCGTCGAAAAAGCAGCAGAAGAAGCCCTGAGACCTCTGTGGTACAATGATCTCCCCATCGACCAATGGAGAAAACTGTGGACCACCGCGCCGCCACCTATTCCGAAGGGCTGCCCTGAACTAGGCAAAGAGGTCTCGGAGTCATACGGCAAGGTGCCCGTGCGCGACGGGACGGAGATCGAGATCAAGATTTATAAGTCCACCACCCCGAGGAACAGGAACGACGCTTTGCTTGTGTTTCGGATGCATGGGGGCGGGTGGACGGTGGGTGGACATGTGACGGAGGAGGCGGAGAGTAGGTATCTAGCCGCATTGGAGAATGTGGTGGTTGTGAGTGTGGATTATCGGATGTGAGTTGCTCAAACCCAGTAACGGTAAGAGGAGGGGAGGATTTTGCTGACACTTGTTTGAAAGGGCACCTGAGTTCCCTTTCCCTTATCCAATTGAAGATTCGTGGGATGTCCTGAAATGGGTAAGTATACCCGCACTCAGTGAACATCAACCGCTCAACTAATGAACTACTTCAGTGCAAGGCCAATGGCAGTTCCCTCGGTATCAATCCCGAAAAAATTATCATCGCTGGCAACAGCAGTGGTGCGAACATGGTCAGTACTTTCCATCCACCCCCTTGTTAGCTTACCCTATTTCCACACACACTGACTTGCCGCCCATAGGCCGCCGTCCTAGCCATCCGCGCCCGCGACGAGGGACTCACCGGAATCGTGGCCCAAATCCTCGCTGTCCCCGTCACATGCCACCCCAAGCTCTTCTCGCAGGTGCCCAACGCAGAGAAATACGAGCTGCTAAGCTACGAACAGAACCACAATGCCGGTGTCATCGACACCGTCCGGATGGAGTTCGTCTGGGACTGCTACGTTGGCACTAACCCGGAGTCGGACCCCAGGCACTCGCCTCTGCTGAATGAGATACCGGCGTTGAAGCGGTTGCCGCCTGCTTGTAAGTTAGCACCGGTCTTTCTCGATGGAAAGGTTGAGTGGGAATGATGTAACGATAAGGCTGACATGGATGTAGTGGTGCAGGTTGCAGGGTGTGATCCCATGCGAGACGAAGGGATCGCGTATGCAGAGGTGTTGAAGGAGGCGGGTAATGAGGTGGAGTTGACGATTTATAAGGGGTTGCCCCATTGCTTCTACGGCTTCACCGAGTTGAAACGGACGGCAGAGTATTTTGAGAAGGTAGTTGCGTTCGTGAAGAAGTATGCGGATGCTGACGCAGGTTTGGGACAGACTATTTAGTTACATATGGTGAATTGTGGAAAGGAGTTTGTGGGAAGGAGTGTGAAGGAATGGAATGGAAATGATAAGAAATGGACACATTATTTGGTACATGTCCTATCCCATTGTACATGCGATGGGATGAGATCCGTCCTCCTCTTCCATCAATTCATACATGATATCCGTCCGCACTGTATACTTCGTGCCCGCCAAAACATCATCTCCAGAATGATACAATCTCCTATGCTGAAAAATCAACACCCTCCCCGCCTTAGGATCGACATCCATCTTCTTCTTGTCATCATAGGATAAGAAACTCGTCGCCCCTCCCACCAGTTCCACCCCCTCCTTCTCCTCCTCTCCTACCGCCTGCTTTGAATCATTCAAATACAAATGCAGCGTAAAATGCGTCCTCAGAATCTGGCCATTCCCCCCCAATTCCTCATACGGCCCATCACAGTGCGGCCGGAAGAACTGCCCCGGTCCATACTTCAAAAATCTCATCCGCTGGTTCACCCGATGAAACGCCCAATGCGCCGGCATCCTTCCCGACAGCGGGACCTTCCCGCCTAGAAACTGCGCTTCATTGAAGTACCCCAGCTGCTCCATCACCTCGGGGACTTGCGCCGTGATGCGCGTCCATATCCTATCGACGATTTCTTGCTGGTCCCAGATAATGCGGTCGCTGTTGCGGTACTCCGGCTCGAGGATCTCGAACCCGCCGCCGATGTTGACCATGGCTGGCTTCCAGGGTGAGGTCCCCGAGGTGTGGTCCTGGAGAAGGACGGAGGACTCGGCGAGGCGCAAGAGGGTGGTGCATTCACTGGGGCTGAGGACATGATCGAGGATTATGGCGTAGCCGCCGGCGAATTCGGGAACGGGGCTTTGCGAAAAGTCAATCGGGGTAAAGATTATGGGGTGGGCGTCAGGCGGGGAGGTGGTGAGGAATTCGGTGGGGATGGAGACGGGGGCGGATTCGTAGGTAGTTTGGACGGGCTTGCGTCTCGACATTTTGAGTAGTTGTGATGTGGGTTTGAATTGACAGCAAAGACGAGATGTTGATTTAGGGCAGATGAAATGTAAAATATGCCTTACTTAGGTAAATGTTAGGTTGAATTATACTTCCAACTCCACGTCGAGGTGGTGCTCTTGATTATACATAGTAACCAACTCGACTGGGAGCTTTTCGATGCTGCCTAGAGGCAAAGTCTGACTGCCTTGCAGGCCCCAAACGCGGGTAAGTTGCAACGCCGCAACAAAAAAGTTTCAGTTCGCCTCATTAGAGGCTCTGCTTCTCAGCGTGTTGAAGATCAAAACCCAGCTCCACAAAGCTAACGGTTGAGTCAGCAACTAGAGAAACTTTGCAACTTCCAGTTGTCTTCACTAAGCGCTATGCGAACCGATGAGTCAGTTGGTGGGAACACATGCGGCCAGGCGGCTTTCGTCATAACGGAACTCAGACCCTGATGCTTCAATCAGCATCTTCATGTAGTGCCAGATCATGAGGGTTACTTTATGCTACATGTCCAAGCGATGTCGAGCGATGTCGTAGGACTGTAGGATCTAGCTCGGGCGCAGTCATGGATCTCCAGTTGTCAGCAAAGGGCGGGTTGCTGCGCTACCGGGTTGGTCCGAGTGCGGGTCGCTGGAGGCTGCCTCTGCTAGGCCTGGCCGACGTCGTATTCGTCCGTTGTCCATCCATGGAGTTCGGAACGTCGTCAGTTGCATCTGCGCTGATACGTATCCGCAATCCCACCTCAGATCCAGAAAGCTGTCTTACATTACCTAGAGGAGCCATGTGTGGACAGATGGCGGTGCGCTGTTCTTTCCGGCTCGGTATCCAGACTACAGCATGCTCGGCTCGCCTTTCATCAAAACTCGGTCAACAATGACCCAAGTTTCCTCGGCTCTCTGCCCGGCTCATCAATTAGCAGCAGTTTCGGCGATTGCTGTTAGCTCGACTCGACCGGTTGCTGCGATGCTCTTATGACTTGCATTGCAGGTTCAGAATAAAATTGATGTGCACGAAAAGAAACTTTGCTTGTCGCTTCGCAGCCTCCCGAAATGCCGAATTAGAACATAGCATCTGACGCGTCACGAGAAGCTTGAAATGACCCGGCGATTTCTCACATCATGCCTCTACATGAGATTCATTACAGAAGTCGTCCAGAAGTTCGCAGCTGCGGTCTAGTATATTCGAAGTTGTCATAGCAAATTTAGGTAGTTTCCTATGAATTCTGGTTAAGATGTCTACTCCTCCTCCACCCGGAATCTACGTGCCCGTGCCGACCTTCTTCCAATCCAAGAAGTCCGCCACTTACAACGCTATCGCTTCACCTGTGGATATCGACACGCAGGTTGCCCACTCGATATATCTCGCGAAAGCTGGAACCAAGGGGTTGGTCATTCTGGGCAGTACAGGCGAAGCCATCCATCTCACCAACAAGGAGCGCTTTAATGTTCTCTCTGGTGTCCGGCGTGCGTTCGACCATGAGGGCTTCAAGGACTACCCCATCATTGCCGGCACCGCGACCCAGAATATCGAAGAGACGGTCGACCAGCTGAAAAATGCAAAAGAGGCTGGAGCGCAATGGGGACTCTGTTTGGTGCCGGGATACTTTGCTGGTGCGAATTCACAGGAGGGCATCATCCAGTGGTTCACAGCTGTGGCTGACCAAAGTCCCATTCCCGTCATGATGCAAGTGTTGTTTCACGAGATATGTGGTGTAAAATATGCTAATGAAGACTCAAAGCTACCATTACCCCGGGGTCTCAAATAATGTCAAAGTCGTCCCCTCAACCTACGTCACCCTGGCAAAACACCCTAACATCGTCGGCTGCAAGCTCTCACACGGCGACATATCAGTGCACGCCCAGATCGCCTCAAACCCCTCAATAGACCACTCCAAATTCCATACCTTCACAGGTTTAGGCCAACAACTTCTGCCCGCCATCTCCATCGGCGTCGTAGGCGCCATTGATGGTTGTGCGGGGTTCTTCCCCGAGACCGTGGTCAAGCTGTACGAACTATCAATCAAGAACCAGCCTGCGGACGAGGAAATAAAGAAAAGAAGGTCATTGCAGTACAAGCTTAGCTCTATGGAGGAGATTATTGTCAAGTTTGGTACGGTAGGGATCAAGGAGGCGATTAGTCGGTTGAGGGGCTTGGGGGATCCGGACGGCACGCGGCTGCCCCTGTTTAGGGGCATTCCAGGGGGTGAGAGGGAGTGGTCTAAGTGGAAAGGGGTCGTGGATAGTATGGAGGCGGAGGAGAATGGTGCTTAGGTCGGTGAGTAGATTCGAGTCGAGGGAATAGTATTGGTAAATCCTGATTACCGGTCACCAGTTGGCTTCAACGATAATGTGTCACTTATGCCAAGGGCATTCCTACAGATCCAGATATACATCTATTAAGCTTCATGATTATGCAAAGATCAATCACAGGGTCAAGAAACGCCACGTATCAGTACGCCCTGGTCTTTCGCAACGGTGCCCGCATGCATTCCCTCGCATATACCAGCCCTACTCGACGGCGGTTTTAGAAGGATCGCGCGGTATGAGTTCCTATTCACTTGTCCGTCTCTAAGAGTACTGATCGTTGAATACATGGTATAGCTCTACAAAATCAACCACCTAATAGCGGCCCGATAGTCTAATGGACACAATGTCATGAACAAGGCTTGCAAGAGGTTGTTTTATTCGGCTGTAGATTTCAGATCCTTTTTGATTCGGGTTTTTTGCACAAGGCCTTCTTGTTGGTATTTAAATTTGCAGGTCTCCAGGGTTTTGGCATGGGCAAGCCCTAGGCTTTCGACGCTCTGCTAAAGGAGACGATAGCTTGGGACAAATGGAGGGGGTAATTGTTGGCCTGCGCACTAAAGCGGGTACTATCGTAGCGTATTTCACTATGAACTAGGTGATTGCCCCAAAACTAGTGGACGCTAAATCAGACAACATTGTTGGCTTGAACAGGACATAAACTATTAAGCAACAGAGCCTTTTATTCTGTTACAAGTAGAAACGTCAACGACTTTCTAGATCTGTGACATTATTTGCCTGCACATATGCCAACCAAATAAAAGAAGGATAAGAATAAACTTGTACTGTGCAAGAAAACACATTCTCAATGCTTTTGGTATGTTTTACTGCTTGTCACCAGATTCTGTAATAGAGGCTACTGAATAAGGTAAGAGGTGGTTGAGAGCAAAAGGACCTAGGGGCCGCACGTGCTCAACAATCCCTAGATTCAAAGTTGTAATTTGATGTGATATTATGACACATACTCTAAGATACTTGGGGTTATGGCACTCAGTATATGGTTAGTCTGGCATCTAAGACTTTCGTTCTTGAATATGGGTGTGGAAACTCAGCATAGGAATTGTATTATTCATATTAAGAACTTGTTGCAATACCTTGAACACTGCTCCTGTGATATATAAAATGAAAAGTTTCCTTGGAAAGCTAATTGCCATGACGTTAAATAAACTTCGTTTTCTTTGGGCAACTACCAAAGGAACGCGCTCTAGCAATTTGCGACACCATGCGGATGCTTATCAACGCAATAGACGAGTCTTTAATTCAGTTAACTGAATTCAGCTATTGCACGGGGGTCAAACCTCAAGACCTCGGTACACATAATTCGCCGTCATCGATCACACCTAGCATAGGCCTATTATCCACCTACAATCTATAACCATACCCAACTATCTGCACAATCAACCGGGTCACCCAACCAGCTTATCAACCAAGTTGTCGATCATACACTCAGAGCCAATACTTTCTCTTCTACAAATAAGAGGAGCCATGTCCGTGTTTGATACACCGGGGTCACTGAATACATCCTATACTTTCTGGACAAACACACCCTGCTTAAGCCCATGCGCGTCTGTCATTCCTGGAAGGATCACATTGACTTGCTCTCCACGCTGCAAAGGGAGCTCTTCTTTCAACCAGATATCTTGGCTCTTCCATTGAGAGGCTATTACCGCATTAGAAATCCAATCCTATCTTGAAAGATACCAGATTTCTTCGTTTGAGAGAATGGAACATCCACGAATTATCAATGGCACCCCTTCTTACAAGCGATTTCTGAAGGCCGGCATCAGCGGAACGCATGCTGGCTAGCGAACTACCGGTCACGAATGTGGCTTTACTCTATGGAAACTACGGTGGATATAACACTGCGCAAGGATATCAAGATCCCCTATAGCGAAGTTCGTGTTGACGGACGGATGACGGGTTGGGAAACTCTACGATCTTACCACAGACGCACTTAAGAGTGCAACTTGCCTCCTCATGCGGCCAAACCCCTCTACAGAGTGTAACGCCGTTTCTGAATGGACTAGATGGTCCGCTTGGGTGAGATCAGCCGTGGCGGACGCGGACCCCCAGGGTGCCATCGTCTTACGGCATACTGAGTTAAAAAGAATCCGCTCACGATCGCAAAGAGAAGGGGATTTCAGACGCCAGACGGCACACACATCTAATCTATGAGAAAATTTGGGGCTCATCTCTGCTAGTTGCAGCTGCATGAGAATAGAGAACTCGAGCCGGACCTCGTACAGAGCATGTGCAAGGATGAGGCGATGAACCAATGAACCAATTCATAGTGGAGTTAGACAACCGCTCACCTGTGGGGAAACTCACTCTTCAGCTTAGAAAGAAGACAGTTCTCGACAGTTCAAAAGGTACCCATCCAATTTCTCAGTTAGAGTCGGGGATGTGAGGAGGGGCATAAGTAGGATATGAGAAGAATCCCTGTTGAGGAGACTACACCTCAATCCTCATTACACGATACGTGCGAATTAAACTCTTACTCTCTTTGATAAGGTCCGTTTAGCACAAACTTCTTCATCACATATTTTCACTCTTCATATTACACGTACCTTAGGCACTCCAGTATTGGAATGACAACATGGCCAAGTAGATAACAAAACAAACAGCACAATAAAGGATGGAATAATGAGGGATACTTCGAAATCCCATTGACATAGAGTATCTATTCCGCCTGAGAAGCTGTTCATATTGACGTCCACTTGCTAGCAGGCAATGCGGCCATCCTCTTCAATCCATTGCTCAGCTGCAAGCCCGCCTTGTAGGTTCAACAGTGATAGCTTGAAACAATCCACGTGCTAAGAAATATACTCAAGTATTAATAAAACAAGACCAGACAAGACGGCATACCCAATGGGTCAACCCTGAACCCAACATCCGAAAGAAAGCCGGGATATCTCACTTGGTATTCCTAGATATGTTCCACAACCTTATCAATATTTATCTAGGAGGAAATTTAGAAGTCGCAAGGCGCTCTTAAACAAGTTTCAGGAGTCGACCCTTCCTGTCAAGTGAAGCTGGTAGCGCGCAGCTACCCCGCAGCTTTTGTGCGGGAAGGTGCCTGTAAGGCTGATTCCCACCCCACATCTCCGTCATCGGGCTTGAAAATCTCGTCCGGTCTAAGCAGTCACGGTCGAATGATCATCTAAACCCCGACATTCAACCCTTAGAAGTCCGTCTGTCAATTAAGTGATCCGATTGAGCAACAACATAATCTCATTCGCTTCTGTTTTTTTGGAACCATCGAAGCACTATCAAAGGCATATTGCTCTCTTTGCTTCCCCACCCACTTGTAAACACTGTCCATTCACCCAGAGCCGGCCATGGAGACGAACGGACAGGGCATCGAGAAGTTCAGTATCCGAACGCCGTGCTCCTCAGCCAATATCGGGCCCGGATTCGACGTCATTGGCCTGGCATTGTCCATCTACCTCGAGCTCCAGGTGACTGTTGACCACACCAAGACTTCCTCCGAGCACCCTTTGAACTGCCGAATCACATATGAGGGCCAGGGAGAGAACTCGGGCGAGGTCCCGCTCGATCCAGCCTCCAATCTCATCACTCGCGTGGCCCTGTACGTTTTGAGATGCCATGATCAACGTGCATTCCCTGTGGAGACGCATGTGCACATTGTAAACCCCATCCCTCTGGGCCGTGGTTTGGGATCATCCGGAGCCGCTGTTGTAGCGGGTGTGATGCTGGGCAAGGAAGTTGGCGGTCTGGATCTGGACAACGACCGATTGTTCGATTTCTGCCTTATGATTGGTATGTCGAACTCTTGGACAGAGTGCCACTCCAAGAAACCAGCTCCATGACCGGTCCGGACCCCAGATATCAGACTGACACACCTGTGCATAGAGCGACACCCGGACAATATTGGTGCAGCCTTGTTTGGTGGCTTCGTGGGTACCTACTTGAAGCCGTTGTCACCAGAGGATGTAGCCCGAGTGGAGATCCCGTTGGCCGAAGTGCTCCCAGCACCAGCAGGTGGCGTTGACACGGGCGAACGTCCCCCTGAGCCGCCTTATGGAATTGGCCATCACATCAAATTCCCTTGGTGTCGGCAGATCAAGGCAGTCGCCATAATACCTGAATTCCAGGTTCCCACTGCCAAGGCGCGAGAGGTCCTTCCAGCGAACTATCCCAGACAGGATGTCGTACGTTGCCGAAAACACCCCTCCACAGGTTGACCACTGACTCACACAACATCAGACTTTCAACCTGCAGAGAATAGCCCTGCTGCCCGTGGCACTCGGCCAGTCACCGCCCGATCCAGAACTGATCTATCTAGCAATGCAGGACAAGCTCCACCAGCAGTACCGACAAACGCTCATTCCTGGCCTCGGAGATATAGTGGAATCCATGTCGCCAAGCACCCAAGAAGGTCTGCTTGGAGTGTGCCTATCGGGCGCCGGCCCAACCATCCTTGCACTTGCCACCAGTAATTATGAGCAGATTGCAGACCGAATCATTGAGTTCTTTAAGAAAGAGGGGATTCGATGCCAATGGCTTATCCTAGAGCCAGCTGAGGGAACCAAAGTCATCCGGAGAGATTAGGCAGAGTGCTGCTGCAGGAACTGATACCCAAAAGCAGAACGAAAATGGTAGGCTGGCGGGAAGGCTGACAAATGGCGGCGGCTAACCGTGATGGGAAAGTTGATAGCTGTCGGAGTTATTACCTTGGCATTGGACCCATGATCCAACGAGAGATCATCATTCCGACGTCCCCATTGATTGTTCGGCTCTGAAAAGTCATAAAAAGTACATGTATTGAGACAAGCCGAGGACAGGGCGAATATCAATCCGTTCTTGCCATTCAACTTTATTGACCATGTGAAGAAGAATTGGCGTTGACAGGCAAGACGGGGGGAAATTGTCCACCGGCCCCGAGAAAGGAAGCTGGCCAATATGCGGAGCCACGGTTGATCATTGCCATGAACTGTACGAAAGCCTATGATCGCACCATCGACCAATTGGATCTAGATATGACGAATGTGACACCGGATCTACGGCCAGTACGACATGACATATGCTTTAATGACAGAGGCATCACAGAAGTGCAATCGCATATACATCTCTGAAAATCGAGCGGTTGGATAACTGAATGTCACGCTGCGGTTGTATATGAACATGCACCTGCTATTCCTGTCCTGTGTCCCCGGAGACAAGACCTCTGTCAGTAATGGTATGGTGTCACTGGCCCGAAAGGGCATGTCTCCCGATCTGCGGTGGACTTGCGCTCAATTTAGGCAGTGGAGTTGGTGTACGACTGGGGTATAAAATGGTAATGTCAGGCGAGAGATTAAGCTTAAAAACGTGACGATATTGAGTGTATCGCCAAGTCAACAACTGGACGATTGTCATCAGACTCACTAGACGCATCGACGTGCGGCTTCTTAGTCCTGTGCTTGCAATACCTGTCTCAGTTTCCGCCTGTGACATGTGTTTGTCCTGTCAGGCTTATCTCAATTGACGATGGTTTTCCCCTTGACTCTCAAGATGAGTCCACTCATTCGCACCGCCGTTATTTTGATGGCTGCAACTCTGGCGGCAGCGACAGCATCAGCTACAACGGAGCCCGGTAGCGCCTGTAGCATGGTTGAAGTATTGTCCAAAATTGACATCGAACCACGGCTGTCCTGGGACTACGTTGCTGACCAAAATGAATACTGGTCGACGTCGTGCGGCGATCTGAATCCCACGTGCATTTTGAACCCGCGGACTACGGAAGAGGTGGCGGTGCTGGTAGATATTATTAATCGCAGTAACGAGACGTTTGCTATCAAGTCCGGTGGGCACAACCCGAATAATTGGTTCGCCAGCGTTGATGGCGGGCCCTTGATACAAACCAAGAACTTCAACCAGATCATTTTGGATAAGGAGAAGGAGGCGGTCCGAGTTGGACCTGGGAACCGGTGGGATGATGTTGCTAAGGCGCTCAACGGTACGGGGTACTCGGCGGTTGGTGGGAGGATTGGGAATGTGGGCGTTGGGGGTTATATACTCGGAGGTGCGATATCATCCACATTGCTCAGACCTGTATCGAGCTTTTCACTGACGACACCATAACAGGTGGGCTGAGCTTCATGAGCGCCGAGTACGGATGGGCAGCTAACCAAGTGCTCGAGTATACCCTCGTCCTGGCCAATGCCTCCATATTGAAAGTAACACGGGACAACTACCCAGACATCTTCACAGCCCTAACAGCCGGGGGCAATAACTTCGGCATCGTCACCTCCTACCTCCTCCAAGTATACCCCCAAGGTGAGGTCTGGGGCGGAAATCTTGTCTTCAACGCAACCCCCGAAACGACCTCCTCTCTGCTCGCCGCCCTCCGTGACTTCACGGAGAACTACCCGGATGAAAAAGCCGGGATTATCATGACGTCTGAACGGACCCTCGGGACCCTCGTCAACATTTGGATCCTGTTTCTTTATTATAACGGGCCTGAGCCGCCGCCGGGCGTTTTTGACAAGTTTCTGGCCGTGGGGCCTAACATCAATTCCTGCAAGACGCAGAGCATGGCCGACCTCGTCGAGGGTAATAATTGGGCTATTGTCAAGGGGAGCGTGTATACCATCGGGACGGAGACAACGCCCGTGCCGAGCGAGGAGCACGGGGCGGAGGTGCTGGGGTCGTATTATGACCATTGGGTGAACGTATCCAACAGCGCGGCTTTTGTCACTGGGGTTATCGCCAGTATTGCCTTTCAACCCCTCCCAAAATCCATAGCGCGGGCTGCGAAGGCGAAGGGAGGGGATCTAATTGATCTCGATACAGAAAAGGACCTGCTCGTCATAGAGCTGGATTATAGCTTTTCGTTTAATTCGGATTATGAAAAGATTGACCAGACGATGCGGGATACGTACGAGGGGCTGCGGACGAGGGTCCAGAGGTTTCAAGAGCAGGGAAAGTTGGAGAAAGGGGTTTATTTACCGCTTTTTATGAATGATTGCTTTTATCCGCAGGATTATTTTGGGAGGTTGAGGCCCGAGGGGAAGGCGTTGGCGGGGAGGGTGACGGAGGAGTTGGATCCCAATGGCGTTTGGAGGGACCGGACTGGGGGTTTTAAGTTATGAGAGATCAGTTTGGGTTTGGATATTGGTGAGAGGTGTGAGATGAGCAAATGTATATGTGATATGACGTGATATGATACCAGCTTGAATACGTAAGTCCTGACTGCTTATAAAATGGATAGATAGAGACATGTCTTAAAGCTTAGAGTTACTGATTGGGATATCTTAATTTTGCGATCTACGATTGATTTCAGACGAAGGTTGAGTGCACGGATGGAATATCCGAATGTCGCCAGATAAAATAGATAATCGCGATTCAATAGCTAGGGGTCTAGCCGTGGGTTTCTGGGTATCGTGAAGTTGTTGCGGAATGCCAAGCGCCTTTTAATGCGAGATTGGCTCATGGAGCTCATCGTCTCCGAGTCGACTTACCCTGCAGCCCCACTGTATGATGTACACTTGAAGTTGGCACCGCCTTCCCTTTTGGTCATAGAAGTGCGGGAACCCCAGCGCTTGCCGCACGCCAAACCTTCTAAAGTTCAATCGGAGGGGTGCAAGCTTGAGATATTGACAGGTCGTCAAAACAAAGCTTTCGTCTCCGTAGGTAGCTTTTACAGCTTTGTCACCAACATTCCTTTCACGAAATAGTGTTTGCTCACGGCATCGAGTTGCGCCCGCATGACTAACGACCATTCTCAATGAATTTCCTCAAATCGGCGGTAGCATCAGCTATCGCGCAAGGCCCGCCGTTCCCCTACACCTTTGGCGAAAAGGTCGAGGGACACTCGTCCATCTGGACTCTCCATAATGGCACCAGGCGCGTTAGTAGTGCCACCTTTGCGATGTGATACTGGGGAGCAAGTGCTGATATGGACATTCCCAACAGGAGGATGGCAGTAATTGCAGCATCCTTTCCTTCGATGTCGCAGCCAACAAGAGCCGGCTGGCTCTAGCCAAAAATGCGCTGAAGAAGTTACGGACGATGCGACACCCAGGGGTGATCAAGATTCTAGATACCGTCGAGGTATGGTGGATAGCTGGGGCCAGACCATGATTTCCAGAACGCTCACTACCAGCCACAGACAGACTCATATATATACATCGCGACCGAACGACTTGTACCGTTAAGTTGGTACATCAAGTTGAAAAGCTTAAGTCCCGAGACGATCAAATGGGGATTATACGGCATTGCGGTAACGGCGAATCTACGAGGAGCACCGGAAATTTGGCTGACTCGAAGCAGCGCACCATCAAGTTTATCAACGACGAAGGCTCTTCGATCCACGGCAGTCTGAAAGTCGCCTCCATCTATACATCCGAAAGCGGCGAGTGGAAACTTGGAGGCTTTGACGTCCTTAGTAATGTTAAGGATGACGAGGTGATTATATACGTATGCACATCCATCATTGGGAGGCCGTACTCGACCGTGCTGACCAGCCACCCAGACGTACGGAAGTCTTGTTCCAGACTCGGGACGCTACACACCGCCCGAACTCGCTCGAAACGGCTGGGATGCTATTAAACGAAGCCCACATACGGCGGTCGACTCATACAACTTTGGCACCCTCATATTCGAGGTCTTCAATGGCGACTTCACCGGAGCAGACCAGGCGGGTCAGACTAAAGGAATCCCACCTTCGATGCACGGAAGCTACAAGAGGCTCGTCAACCCATCGCCGAAATCAAGAATCACAGTCGGGGCGTTCCTTGAGCAAGGGCGGAGGTCGGGCAGTTTCTTTGACTCGCCTCTGATTAAGTTGACGGACGGCATTGACAATCTTGGCGTAAAGTCGGAGGAGGAACGGGAGATTCTCCTTGACGACCTCGATTCAGTCTCCGACGACTTCCCGGAGGACTTTTTCAAAATGAAGGTTCTTCCTGAGCTTCTCAAATCTGTCGAGTTCGGCGGTGGTGGACCGAAAGCGTTCAGCATTGTTATGAAGATCTCCACTAAGCTTTCCGACGAAGATTTTGATGCAAAGGTTCAACCGGTGGTCGTCCGGCTCTTTGTAAATCCTGATCGCGCCATTCGTGTGTGTCTGTTGGACAACCTCCCACTTATGATCAACCGACTGCCACAGAAGGTGGTAAACGACAAGATGTTCCCCAATATTGTAATTCAATCGACTGCCATTTGCTTGACTGAGCTGACGGCGTCTCTAGGTTTCTGGCTTTACAGATGTAGCACCACTAGTTCGAGAGCAGACGTTGAAATCTGTACTAGTAATCATCGGCAAGCTATCAGACCGTGTTATTAATGGTGAGCTGCTGAAATATCTTGCAAAGACGGCAAACGACGAACAGCCAGGCATCAGAACAAACACCACAATTGTGCTGGGAAAGTTGGCCAAAAACCTAGGAACGTCAACAAGATCGAAGGTTCTAATAGCAGCGTTTTGCCGATCGCTGAGGGATCCTTTTGTGCATGCACGGAACGCCTCCCTGATGGCTCTAGCCGCTACGGCGGAACACTTCTCTGATGAAGATTGTGCAACGAAGATTCTCCCTGCCATTTGTCCGGCCCTGATCGACAAGGAAAAGCTCATTCGTGATCAGGCGATCAAGACGATGGAAGTCTACATGCAGAAGATCCGCAAGGCAGCATCAAACATGCCAGACACGGTCCTACCACCGCCAGAGACAGCGCAAGCAGCTGGTCCCAGGATGAGCACGCCGCAGCCCAGCGAGGCCTCGTCGTGGACTGGCTGGGCCATTTCGAGTTTCACGAACAAGCTCTCGACGGCGGCGGGTGAGATCCAACCGTCAAGTAACGACACTGCCTCTGCCAGCGTGGCCTCGCCAACCCCACCCTCAACTCGATTGGCCCATGTCAACTCATCGGCGTCTGCTCTGCACAGGCAAGCTGTGCAGTCGCCGCCTCCGCCACCCTTATCCCGCAACTCGTCAACCTCAGCTGCAGAGGCTTACTTCAAAGACCCCGAACCCATTGATGATGGTGCCGCATGGGGCGACATGGAGGATATGAACGATGACGTGGATGTATGGGGTGAGGAACCCTCCGGGGCCGTAGCACCGGCACCGGCAAGCAAGCTAGCGGCTAGTAAGAAGTCCGCAGCATCGCCATCTTCATTCGATGATGGTTCGGAGCCTGATTTCGCGGGCTGGCTCGCGGCGCAGTCGCAGAAGAAGATACCCGGAAAGAGCAAACCGTTACCCAAGGGGTTGACGAAGTCGGGTGGTGCCGCTGCGAAACCGGCGACATCAAAGCCGGTCGTGGCCAAGAAGATCGACTTGAAGCCCAAGGCTACAGACGACGATGATGGGTGGGGCGACGGGTGGTAATGGGCGGTTAGTCTGCGCGCGAAGCAGATAGGGCATAGATGGCATCGCATGGCGTTTGGGAGTTGAAATAGGCTCAGAATCTACTTGGTACACCAACACATGGTATCATAATATGGTGGGACAGGTGCAATACAATCTGAGATACTGGCTGCTTTATTGATAGTAGCCTATCTAAGCAATGCAATCCAATTCAATATATCGCAGTACGGCATTCACGCGCATGCAAATCGTGTTGCAAACTCCCGTCCCAAGCTCGAACTTACCAACCTTGAACGCCTGGCCAGAAAGACAGATGATTTCTCTCTTTACCCCTGAAACGAAGTACGAATACCGATTCGCAACCAATCAAACCTCGCGTTGCTTCTCAACCCACCAATCCGAATCACCACTCAAGATGGCCTCCGACTCGATATCACTCCACTTGGATGCAGTATCCTCGTCCAATTTGATCGCTTCCTGCTGTTCCCTGACCCAATCGGCCGTAGCCACATTATCCTCGACCCTCGCAACCCCGCCCTCGAGCTCGCCGCGCCGTAATGTCGGGTCCGAGTCCTATCTCGCCTCCGAGTAGTCGTTAAGCGCGACGCAAACCGCGCCCCGATGGTGGCCGTTATACTGGCGAATAACCTGCTGACTATGCAACTCCCAAAGCCGCGCGTAGTGATCTGAGCACGCCGTCACAAGGTACGCGCTATCGGCGCTAAAGGCGCAGTCCCAGACCCAGCGTTGGTGCCCCTGGAGGGTTGCTTCGAGGGGGTAGGGTTTTGGCGCGTCAGGCAGGTTGGTGTTGGCGATGGCGTTGAAGTTGGAGTCTGATGAGCCATGGTGAATGATACCGTTGCCGTTAATGAAGGGGTTGGGGTTGTTACCGTTGTTGTTGGGAGAGGAGGGGAGAGTATTGATACTGGATACGGGGAGGGGGGTTGGTACGGTTGGGTCGACGTCGGCTACTTCCCAGATTTTAGCGGTGTGGTCAGCGGAGCAGGTGGCGAGTTTTTTGACGTCGGGGGAGAGGAGGATGCGGGTAATGTATTCTTTGTGGGCGGAGAAGTGGGTTACGGGGAGGAGTTGGGTGCGTTCGAAGGTTTGGATCAGGGCCCAGACGAAGACATTGCCCTGTGAAAGTAGATTTTAGCCTGTGGTCTTTCGATTCAGTGGTATATAAGCAGAGCCCAATGCTTACGGCATTATTCGCAGCGCAAAGCAACGATCCATCACTGGCGACCGTCACGCTGCTCACACTAACGTCCTCCTCGGGAATCAACTGATGGCTGCAGTTATTCTCCGCCAGGTCCCAGACTCGGACGCTGCCGCCGCGATCACAGCTGATGATCTCGCCCTGGTTAGGGTGGATCACCACATCGTTCACGGGGCTGCCGTGGTTGTAGCTACGCTGGATGGTGCCCGACCGCGTTTCCCAGATCTTGACGGTGCCGTCCTCGCTCGAGGTCACCATCCATTTTCCCTCGCAGTGGAAGGCGACGCCGGTTATGTTGCCCGTATGGCCTTCGAAAGTCAGCAAGGGGTTCGGGTTCGTCGACTTGATGTCGTAGAGCTTGACGGTGTGGTGGCCGGCCGCGGCTAGGTAGCGCTTGTCGGGGCTGATGCAGAGGCGGTTCACCTGCGAGTCTGGGTGTTGGATCGTGCGGGAACATATCCCGGAGAGAGCCTCCCAGAATCTGTGGTGGTCTCTGGGTTAGAGAGATGGGGAGAAATAGCAGATAGCTTTGTGCTCGGCTTCGTACCTGATGGTATGGTCGTAACCAGCTGTTGCACTTATTAATTGATGAAAACGCGACGGGCAAACGGGCTGGCTTACCTGTGCAGAGAATGACAGACATGATGGTTTCAGTCAATATCCATCCTCCGTTTTCAACTATTCCCCTCGTCCAGTGTCGCGAAGGTGTCTCGTTGTTGGGCTCTTTGGCGGGGTCCTAGAGGTGAAGCTGCGAGCTGTTGGCCAAGTTGTGATGAAGCATGCAATTAAATGGAGGGATGCATGTATGGGGAGTTTTGAGACTCCCTCGCTTACGTAAATCAACTTGGCTTGGGCAACTTCAACCCCTCTCTAGGCAAGCATGACTTTATTGCCAACCTTCCGCTTGCATGGAAGCACTCCAACAGTTGCCAATATTCATGCTATTGATAATCATCAGTTTTCTATGACGTGAGAACATGTTCACAGCGCACCACATTATTTCATCACAATTATAATAGGCCACAGCGACAAGAAAAGCATGCCGTCGCATAATTTCAACCACGGCAGTCCAGTCATATCCATATTCCGAAAGGGGTTCACAAATTACGCATTATTCCCACTTCCCCAACTAGTTGCCAAGAGGCCGCTTTATAACAACCACCCTCTCAAGGTTTATATCGATCTTTAAGAATCAATTAAGGCCTATAGCTATAGCGGTTAATGCCCATGATTAGAGGGCGTATCCCTTGTAAGCTAAGAGGCTACGCGCTATAATTATGGAGATTACCCTTTAGTTTATAAGGCTACCTACTATAATTGTAAAGACTTGTTGATTAATTTAATATTACTATATCTCAATATAAAGCTTTCTAAGTCCAGAAGAAAGTTATATGAGGCTTTATAACAGAAATGGTGAAAGTTATTGACAGACAGCTACTGTGGGAAGTTGTGGCCTCAGGTGGCCAGGGTTACGAGGCAGGCAGCACGTGTAGTATCTAGGGACCCCTCGGGGCCAACTTGGCATTGGTCCAACACAGCCCTGATTACTTGGATTCCGACAGTTACCACTTGGTAACCGCGCCTGTAAAAGATGACCATGCGTACTGTAGCCTGAGGTCATGGTGAGGTACACATGAGATACTCCAGCACCCTTGTGCGGCTTAGAAACCCCTTACCTGTACTTCCCTTCTTCACCTTCGTGTATAGGTGGAATGCTAGTTAGTACAAGTGCGATTCCACGCTTGTCTTACGAATGAATATTTTAGTTAATGTACTGTATCTCCTCTTATCCTTATGGAATGATAAAGTTCCTCATAAGTAGACCTTTACGCACAGGCCTCATTTGCACCTGCTGGCAGAGTTGGTAGCAGCTGTATTGGGCTGAATAGTTCGTGATTGGAAATCCGCGTAATTGTAGTTAATCCCTTCCGAAAACACACTTGCAATATCGCAACTTGTAATATCTGCGAGCCTTCAGTCCGAGTCGTACTTCCCGACATTTCCATGGGGTTATGAAAATCGGACCACCGACCTGAGTTCGAACTTCTTGTGACACGGCTATGTGCAGCAGCCACGAATGCTACGACTTCACTAGTGTGGTTGCCTTCTTTTCTGGCCAGAGAACATTTCTCATTCTAGATACCCTTGGTCTAGAAGCCCTTGAGGTCGGCCCAGCTGCTTCCACTCTCGTATGTGTTGGGGTCTCCGATTCAATCTAATCCCCGCCGATCTTTTGCTCGGTGTCCTGGCCCCGAACTGCTCGATTCCTGACAAGCGCATCATCATCATGGATATCTCGACGGCGGCTCATTGAAGCCCTCGGGGCTCATATCATTCAACACCCTAATCTTCAGACACAAACGAGCACCAAGCCGGGCTATTCTACCGGTCATCCAACTGAGGTTTTGAACTATTATTATTGCTCGTACTGCATTGGTACATGAAACATTACTTCCGGCTCACGAAAACTGTCAGGTGCTTTACTGTTTGTTCTGGCTCCTGATCACCCAAAACAATCAACGATTAAGATGCTAGGCATCATCGCTCAACATCCTCGTGACCCACGACCCTTGTGGTCTTCATCTTGCTTGGATATGCAAGATCATCGGGTCTTATGCCATGATACACCGACCTGCATGGAACACCCGAACGTTCTGTAATCCTTGCAACAGGAAGGGAACCAATCGAGGCCCATCTTCAGCCGCCACTAGGGACAGCAGTCGTCCAAAACGTGTCCGACCGATTTCGCGCCTTTTCTCACGCAGTTCCTCACTTTGCTCGCTTGGGGGCCCTGCGACTTGATGGTGGGGGGTACTTCCGAGAGTCCTCGTGAGCACGATCTAGAGCCTCATGGCTTTGCCGTAACCATTTAGTTGGATCTATGCTCTGAAAACACTCATTGGGGCAGTAACCAACAATGAGCACTCTGGTGTTGTTGCATTCCGCACAAAAGTATTCAGCATCATTCCTGTTTGTATCGTCAGTCTTTCTCCTGGAAGCCTTCCCATCAAACTCACTTACTTTCTCATGTTGCTGGCTTCGCAGTGGGGGCAGCCGGTATATATGTAACCGCCAATGCATTGTGTGCAGACATCATCATCTTCCACGAGCTCAAGATGCGACGACGCTGACATATTTGAGGTCCAGTATCAAGTGGGAATTCAGGTCTTGTAGACTGTGGTTCTCTGAGGAGTGTCAGACACTTTGAGATCGCAGTCAACAGGATCTCACCACGACGATACTCATCTCCCTATTTATAGAACATGGGGGATGGAACTTATGTGCAAGGCCCGGATGCCCTCGATGGCTCGCCAAATATCATGGTTTCAAGCTGAGTAGGGCAAATCTCACACCGCCTTTGATTCGACTCAGATTTCACGATCATACAATGGCATGCCACAAGGAGTGCATGCTAGGTGGTCTGGTGGTCCCGGCCTCGATGGCTGCCTTACTCTGACCGGCCACGAGGTGATTGCAAGCACTCTGGGCATGTATATCACCATCCGGAGCGATATTATCTCTGGAAAGCGCTGTTACACATCTGCCGCGGTATGACTGCAGCTGATATCCGTTGTTGGATCCGAAGTCGGCTAGTACCGCACATCGCTTTTACTTCCCAACACCCAATCCTTTTCTACACCGCCGCTTCGTCCTGATCATTGCCGTCTTGTCAGCACATACTACATCATTTGGGTCAAACCAGTCCCTGAGATACCTCGCACTACTTTTTAGCGCAAAAGTATTGGGAGAGATGTGAACTCGAGTCGCTCTGATACGGCAGCAGAGATCATGCAGAGTGTCGGCGAGGTGCATCCGACTCCACGCACTTGAATACTCATGCAGTATTCCGTCGTGGAGCACATGGCTTTTTCTTTCTTGATCCTATGGAGACACGTAGCTCGATCGGCCAAGTGAATGATGAGCATACTTTATTTCCATGTATTCGATGGAATATCTGATTTGAACACTCCAGAAACCAGAACATCGACAAGACGTGTCAATTAGTTCAGGTACTTCCACTCCGTTGCTACAACATAACGGCTTGTCTTCATGAGCTGTCTTGGCCTCGAAGTACCGATTTCGGCCCGCTCGAAATGATACACCATGTTCCGATACATCTGCAAAAACATACATTTTTCTCTCCGATTGGACATCTACAGCCACCTTGTTTCCGGTTATTATACCTTCGCTTGCTATCTGGGTTTATGTCCAACTGATACCGGGGTGAAACGGCCGCCAACGAGGTCCAATGAGCCACCCATACCTCTGTTGAAGTTGGTCTTGAGTCTCACACAGTTGTGTCACCGGGGAAGAGTGCCGGTATAAACAAGTATTGGTGAAGCAAATTTGGCAAATGATACGGCTATGCCGACGTGCGTATCGAATTCTCACCAACAAGCGAATTGACAATGAGAGGACCCCCGCCAAATGGGTGAGATGGGACCTCAACTGAAGTCAACTTGGTGTCCAGTTTGAAGTGTGCTGTTGCAGCGCAAGCGGAGTACGGCATGCGTAACAGGTGCTTCAGGAAAGGAGTTCCCTTCCACGCCACACACTGACACAGGCAGCCAAACAGTGTCTATTCACCTCCGGTATCAGAGGTGCTCGAGTCTTACCATCGCCTGTTCTCAAGCTCGTTCACTTGACGCATCGGCCACCTCTTCTTCGTCCGTCCACGTTGACATCGAGGTTCCCTCCCTCGGCACACGTCAGTGCAATTCCGGCGCTCAAACCTGCCGTATCAGTCTTTCGTTAGGTTGAAATGCTAGTGTAACCAACGTAAAATTCCCGTTATGGCTTTGAAAGGCTTGATGGAATCAATGCATCATTGCGGGCAGAAACCTTTCCGTAATTGACTGGATTAAAACATGCGGAGCAGGCCCGCAGGATACGACTGAGACATAACAGTCCTATCAGCAATCTGAATTTTACCGACACTTGATGTGCCTGCCTCCTGTCAATCCTGTCAAGCCAATATCCCGAGACATTGATCTTCAACAGCTGCGACAGTATTGAAGCGGCCGCCCGACTCGACTGCGAGTGACAATGTCGGCCTTACTGTATCGACTGCGACTACAACTTCTCGGTCCTCACTGGTACTCTGTTTAGCCTTCTTCTATTCGCTAGTTTCAAGCATCGCTTGGGCTGGCAGGGCCAACCTTGCTTGTGTCGCTACGGAGTGCCTTTACTGGCTACGGTAGCGCAGACATATCTAATCCTTGGTCTATACCATGGCGACATCTTACGTCCCGTCGACACCGGTTGTTCTCAGACTTCCCTTGCCGTTTGTCAATCCGACGCGGCAAGCCTGCATGTCTAGTACTACTTCACCAACTGTTCCAACTACTGCGGCGACCACGGTAATCGGTGCCATTGGCTCATATTCTGGTTTCTCACACAACTCAACAAATACTCGAGTAGCCAGTCGATCGTCGAGAAACAACTTTTGCGCCACACGATCATACCAAAGATGATAGTGGCAAGATTAAACGGCCTCAAATAGTCCAAGTTCCTCATGACAAACGGGACGATATTCGGGTGTGCCACAGAACGGCACTCATAGTAGAAGCCTCATCTACGGAAATCCATGGATACGGGTTCTTGAGTTACTGTTTGGCAGTTGGAAGCCTGCCTACGTCCACGTTCGGGTAATCGTACTCTTCAGTACTCTGGTTCATCTAGCAACAAAACAGGAGCAAAACCCCTTCATCTCCAAAAAGAGGATTGCCTTGGTGCAGCTACTTGTGAACGAAGTATTCGAGAGCCCCCACCCCTGAACGTCATCCCCGCTGCCCCCGGAATTTCCATACATGCAACGAAGGTCACGCCACATTCCAGCTGACAGCGTTGACCTGCATCGCGTAGCTGACAGACGCCCATGAGACTAAACCATAAAAGGTAACCCGCATCGACATTGAACGCCAGCCATCAATCCCGAAGTTCTCAGCCAATAGGGACCTGCTTGTCTATATCCTACTGCCCCAAACCTGTACCTGCGGCTCTTCCTCTCTAGGTCAACTGCTGTTACACCCCTCGACTTCTGGTGAACTACAACTTTAGTTGCTTCAGCCCTTTGAGCCTTTCTTCGCGTTTGAACCCTTCGAGGACAGGGACTGGTCACCTTGTGGCCCGTTTCGCTTTCGCGAGCCGGAACCGCCACTGTTGGGACCTAGCGAAGACTTGGTATCTTCCCTGTTTGGGTCACTGATGACGACAGTCGAAGGTCCCCAAACTAGGGCTGTCCTATTGCAGTAGTCGCACTTAACGACGCTAGTAAGGTTCGATCAGTATTCTTCCCTGGACATATTGTCAACCTACACGTACAGTTTTGCGTTGCCATTACAGACGGGGCAGGTGTAAGGTATCAACCGCTCCGGGCCAAGGCCGTATATTCGTTGGTCCTCTTCACCCGCGTACTGATCCCATTGTTGAGACGTGGACATGATGGAAAACCCACTGCTGCTTTTGTATGCGCCTTCTTGTGGCTTTGGAGACATGTTGAATTGGCTGTTGGAGTTTATGGATGATGGCAGATAGAAATAAGTTAGTCGGTTTCAGAATCTTCAATTTGATCGTTATCTGTCTACCAGACAGACAAGAGTTGGTTTATTGATAGTTCGAGAGGGCGATATGGGTGAGATCCTGTCACTTTATAACTCCTGGATGGCGAAATACGAAACGGGCGGCCATTACCTCATCGCCATATGAGTATGACGTTTCCATAATAGGCAGTTGCCCAAGCCCTCTCACAAGGGACGACATCCAGCACCCTGACAGGTATTCGTCGTGGGTTTGTGCTCGGTTCTGGACAAGGCGGCACTCGGTGCAAATAAGGCAAACGTCTGGGTGACAGGTTTCAACGTCAGGCTTGTGGTCTTTAGCCAGTAAGACAAGACTCTCGAGTGCACAACGTAGCCACTCACCCCTCCCTGTCCATTGCCGCTGCTGCATGGATGGGATTCCCCGTCGAGCAAAGTGCATGCCGCTGCAACTTTTACGAGGGACATATTGCGGATCATTTCTGACCGTCTTATCTGCTGTTTGCCCTCGGTGAGCTACCAATCTTCTCGCCACCGTTCTTTCACCACCTAGTATTTTCCCGTTCCAACTGTAGGATATTTATGCAAGTCATCCGAACCTAAGTGTTCGGTTGAGCATCGATTCCTCTCGATTCTGCACTTGTCCTTTGACGTCGATGGGCCGTCGATTGGGGGTCCGATGCGGCAGACCCTGCGACTACCCGTTCATACATGTGGCTCAGTTAATCTGATCGCCTTCAAATGGAGACACGTAGCTGGTCCGCGAAGCAACCCATCCTTGCGGCGCCTGATGTCCAGTTGTCGACACAATGTACTCGCTCGATTTTCTGGACCTGCGTCGTCGTGGTACTCTGACCTTATGGCATTGCAAGGTACTAGAAATATATTACCAGCAGGTTGCTAGTTTCGCCGAGTTCAAAAAGGAGAAGCCTCGCAGTTCACTCTCGATCGACTCTCTTTGTTCCACCTCACCATGCCGTCAGGCGCCGGCCGTCCTTCGCGATATTAGTTAATTGTGCCTAATCGACATCCTCACGGGGATACAAGGGGGATCTCGTCTGATTTCAGCCAATGCCCTTCTGTGCAGTGTGAACTAGTTATTCCGGTCGACGGGATCGTACTTCCACGACACGTGATCGATGTCAGATGCTTTGTGGCATCGTCGCATCATCCTCCACGTCGGTTCATCCCATACGTACATTCGCCCAACTTCCTTGGAAACGACACGAATTATGATAATCTCGGGTTCTCGTGCGGGTGCACAAGCTGTCACGCACGCTCAGCGTATCAATGGGGACAGAACGGAAATATCACGATGCAGGTCTCAAGTCTGTTTCGTTTACCGGGTCTACCAAGTGGCCGTTGTCCAACAGTTATTTCCCGCCATTGCCACGCCTCTAATCTCGGCCGGCAATTATTTTATTTACCTCGAGGTCTGTTGGAATGAGAAGATGACGTCTTTAGGGTTCACACGGCTCAGCCCCCGTGCCTGTCTGACAATACCTTAGTTACTCGGTGGTGGAACCCACCTCGCTCTGGGTCCGGTTGTAAACGGGCTGGGCTCCCGTTGGTCACAGGGAACCTAGCGTTACCGGCGAGCAATAGGTCAAAAAGAGCTCATGGGTGTGACCAGATGTGGCCAAGGTCAAGTGACATTTCCAGCTTATCCCTGGCCCTACAATGACCTCCGGCTTCGCCCGAACTATACACAATGCATCGTCAGTCTAAGCAGGCCCTTACAACTCCCTCGTTCCTAAGTTGGTAATTCGGTGCTTTGGTTATTTGGTTCGGCAACCCGGAGGTTGTCATTTCTTTCTTTCCTTTGCTGTCATCTGTAGTGCTCTCCTAACGTTTCTACCATTCGTGGAGCGAGGTCATGTGGCCGCGTCTCCCACAGCACGAGTTCTTTCAATGGTCATCAGCAGATGCCGCTTGGGAAACCAAGTGCGTCTATAGCATCTCCTGGTCTGGTCGAACTACAGAGAAGTCCTTGC